GCATGCGCCACCATACCCAGCCAATTTTTTGTATTTTTAGTAGAGACGGGGTTTTGCCTTGTTGGCTAGGCTGGTCTCAAACTCCTGGCCTCAAGTGATCTGCCAGCCTCAGCCTCCCAAAGTGCTGGGATTACAAGTGTGAGCCACCTCGCAGGGCCCTGTATTTGGATATTAGCCATGGCAGCCCAGCAGATGCTGCTGAGGGTGTCTGGGCACCTGGACCGGGGCCTGGTGGCCTGAGCAGCGCCACCTCCTCAAATGTCAAATTGAGGCCTGGACTAGGGGTGTCTGATTTATGGTCTCACCTGTCTGTCTGTCCATTCAGCATTATCTCCCTGGGACCTCAGGGGCGACTGTGCCTTCAGGGGCTTCTGGGTGGGCAGGCAGAAGCAGAAATAAGTATACAAGGCAGGCCAGTGCCCAGGTTACATGATGAAGGACGGAATGGGGATTTTCAGGGCAATGACTTGTGCCAAGACCCAAGAATGGAAGGGAAGGGACGTACAGGCAAGGGGACCATTCCAGACAGGGCACAAAGGCACAGAGCCACCCAAAGATGAGTGCAGGGCAGGCAATGCTTGAAGCTGGAGCTCTCTATCTCTCATGCTTCTTTGGTTTGCAAAATGTGGTGTGATCCAGTGGGGGCTGAGGGGCCAGGGCTCCGGGGCTGGCAGCCCCGGAAGCAGAGCAGTCACCAGAGGTCCAGGGTGAGAACCACCAGAGTTTTAGAAACTCACCCAGCCAGGTCAAGGGTGCCCGGAGCAGGGAAGGGAGGCTGCTACATCTCACTGAGATGCCAGCGTGGCTGCCCCCAGTGGAAACCAAATAGCCAGGTTCCCTGAAGCTGCCAGCAAGTCTAGGGGCAGGGAGGCCAGGTGAGGGCGGAGGGCCTCCAAGGGTCAGGAGTAATTGCATGGGTTTTGTGACTTCTCGTCTTGCTTCTTGGAAATCTTTCCTGCTTCTTTCTGGATTCCCTACTGAATTCTGAAGGTTCTAAAAGACCTGGAGGCTGGGCACCATGGCTCATGCCTGTAATTCCAGTGGGAGGATCACTTGAGGCCAGAAGTTCAAGACCAGCCCAGGCAACATAGCAAGATCTTGTGTCTATTAAAATTTTTTTTTTTAATTAGCTGGGTGTGGTGGTATTCATACACAGTCCCAGCTACTAGGAACACTGAGGCAGGAGGATCACTTGAACCCAGGAGTTCAAGGTGGTGGTGAGCTGTGATCACACCACTGCACTCCAGCCTGGGTGACAGGGCAAGACCTTGTCTTATAAAAAATAAAATAAAGAGATCCTGGATATGGGTTAGATGGTGAGAGCGTGGGGCTGTCCTTTGTTCCTGGGGGACAAGGGACTGGGACCAAAGGAGGCTGAGGTCGAGGGAGATGTGGGTACCTAAGAGATGGGCAATAGCTAAGCTCTAGGCCCTCAGGCAGGTGCCTGTCGGGGGACAGAGGCACTGGTGGCCATGCCACTCATCCTACCTGAGTTTCCCAGTTCTGGCTGGTTGAGCAGGTGTGAGGCTGCTCTCTCAGGACCCCGTTCTAAGGCACATCTCTTCCTGATTCCACGATGCCCTTGACATGCGCATACACGCTCACATGCACACGTACACATGCACACACACCCCACCACAGCCCTTGCCAGGTTGGGACCACCAGCTGCTGGCTCCTCCCCCTGCCTCCCTGGATGGACATCCGTCCTTTGCAGGAGCTGTTCTTCCTTCTTCCTGAGTCCTAAGGTCGGGCAAGGCATCCCTCAAGGGAGTCCGCAGGTTGGGCCCACCGCCCCGCAGTTCCCAGTTTCTATGCTGTTGCCTGGCTACCTCCCCAGCCTCCACCATTGTCCCTTCCTGCCTCCAGGTCAAGGACCGGGGAGAGTCCATTTGGCCTCCAGGGTCCCATGAGGGGAGGGTGACCCAGTTTGTCCAGAGCTGCCCCAATTTTGGCATGGGAAATCCTACATCCCAAAACTCCTCAGTCCCGAGCAAACCAGGTCTCCCCCAAGCAATGAGTGAGCTTCCTAGAGCAGGGTCCCAGCTCCTCCACCCATCTCCTCTGGTCCCTTGGCCTGTGGTATGAGAAAGGGGACGTGGGCTGCTCCAGACTATACCCTCGCTGTCCCCTAAAGGCCCCAAGGGCTCCAGTCTTCAGGCCTCACACTGGATGCCTCCCCCATGGGCCATCTGGGCCTTTATCTCCTTCAGCTGTGGCTGTTGGCCAGCGTGAACCCAAGTACGTGAACCATAGCCCACCACGTTGGAGCCCCCAGGTCCAGGCCCATAGTGGAACCCAGTGAGGGGAGGGTGCTCGCCCATCCAGGACCCCAGGCCTCTCCCCAAAGCCCATAGCAGGTTGCTGCCCTCCCTCCTTTTGGACACTGGTGTCAGGGACTGGGCCCTTGGCCCTAAGCCCGTCTGGGGTCCCTAGTTCACTAGAGGCCAGTGGAGAAGCCCCTGTTGGCAGAGCCTCCTCCAGGAACGTGCTGCCCTGGCCCTAAAGGCCACAATTCCACAAACCTCTCAGGGCATGTGTCTGAGTCCAATGCCCAGCCGGTAAGAACAAACCCTGGATGAGGTCCAGCCCCTGCCCCTCCTCCTAAAAGTCTCTGTCCAAACTCCAGTCCCAGAAGAGCATTCATAGAGTCCAGTTCTAGAAGGTTCCTCAGCACCTGACGGCTCACTTCCTCAAGTGTCATCTGCAGAGTCGGGGCCTAGCAGGTGAGAGGCAGAGTGGGCACCACCAGGCCTCCCCAAGACTACCTGACAAGCTTAGCCCCTTTGGGCTGAGGGCTGACCCCTGGGGCCCAAGGATACCAGGTCAGGGGGTGAAGGACCTTTGACCCCAGCCCCCCAGACTCTTAACCGGACACCTCCCAGACGAAGCCGAGGCCAGGCACCCAGTGCTTACGGCAGGCTGGAGGTCCCTCATAAGACTGTGGTTCCCAGGACAACATACCAAGCCTCAGGTGCTGGGATGGAGCCCCACAGGGTGTCAGACACAGATCCCACTGTGGGATCCAGGCAGCCTTCACTGACCAAGGTCTGCAACCGCACCTCACCTGGTTGAGAAGGTGTGAGGTGGGCGGGAACGGAGGTTCGGGCGGGCTGGAGTCACATCCAACCAGGCCTCAACTCTAGTCCCGTCCCAGGCAAAACCTTGCTGGCTTTGTTGAGACAGGTCCTTAGAGAATCATAGGAGTAAGAGTAGGAAGCCTCAAGGAGAACACATTCACTTCACCCATGGAGGAATGGCGAAGGCCAGACCCCTCCCCACTCCTTCCAGATCCCCCTTCTGTCCTCTGCAGCATCACTCTTTTAAATCTTAAAATTGTAAACAAAGGTTTTCTCTCTTCATCCCGCTTCCCCTCCAGCCACAGTCCCGTTACTCAGCCCCCTTTTGGTGCAAAACCCTTCAGAAGGGTGTGCAGCCCATTCCTCCTGCTTGAATCCCGAGGGTCAGCCCCTAGGCCCATGACACTCTTGCCAATGCCACCAGTGACTCCAGCGCTCGGCCCCAAGGAAGCTCCCAGGCCGCCACTCACCTGCCTCTCCTCTCCAGGTCTGGCTCCTTTATTTTTCCCTCCCTTTCCCTGGTCAGAGCCCCGGCCACCTCCTCCTCATGCTGGAGTCCAGCCTTAGCCCTTGGCCCCTCTCCTCTCTAGCCCCATCCACTCCTGGTCATCTCATCCAGGGTGGGAGCTCTAAGTAAGACCTGAGCATGAATGACACCCTCATGTCCAGCTCAGACCACGGCCGCAAACTGCACACTCTGCCCTCTGTTCTGGCCCACAGGCCCCTCCCCTGGATGGACCTACAGGGTTCCCTCCCCTCATGTCGCCCCCAGCCACCCCTTCTCAGCAGCCTCGCCCTGGAGGCCCCCTCATTTGGCCCTCTCAGCCCAGGCCCCAATCAGCAGGAAGCCTGTCAGCCCTCCTTTCAGGGAGGTTCCAAACCTGCCCCTCGAATCCCCCCATGCCCCATCCAAGTCCACACTGCCTCTCATCTGGACCACGGCAGAGACCTCCTGCACTGCCCCCTCCCCCCAGTCCCTCATCAGCACATCAGCCAGAGGCTCCCTGGAGAACAGAAGGGGCTCAGAACCCTGCAGCAGTGTCCACTGCACACACAGGAAGAACTCAAGTGCCCGTAGGTGGTGAGCTACTTCCTTATGCATTGTGGTGACCCGGATCATCTGCCTCCCCGAAACCTGCACATGCACTCTAATAATGCAAGCTACGAACGGGTGGTCACCTTTGCCAGCTGTCATCCCAAACAGCTGGCACGGGGCATGCACACAGTAGGTGCTTAATAAGTGTGTGTTGGGTTAAGATAGGCCCAAAGCCATTTCAAATGTCCAGGCAGTGGTGTAGGCAGGGGTCAGCTCTGAAGTTGGCCTCCTCTCATTCAGGAGACCCTCAGAGGTCCCAGCCTCCAGGGTGAGGCCGTCAGAGCAACACTTCTCCGTGCACATCTGGCTGTGTCCCTGCCAGCCCTAATAGGGCGACCCCTCTCTCTAGACACACTTTCTGCCCCGTCACCCCACTGTACACCCTTGGTGCCAGCCCCTTCCAGTGGCTCAGCTTCCTGAACACTCCAAGCCTGGGCTCACCTCTAAGCCATTATCCAGGCTATTCGCTCAGCCAGGATGCCCTTCCCATACCCGACCTTTAAGACTGGCTGAGGCAGCACCTCCTCTGAGAAGCCTTCTCTCCCAAACCTGAGCCCAGATGAGATAAGGCCCTTCCTTCCTCCAGTCAGCCTGGATCCTCTCATCTGGCAGAACTGTTGCCCTGCTTCTCCGAAGCGGTGAACGCCCTAGGGCTGGGGACGCACAGGCTCACTGGCCCATAACCGAAGCCGCTTCCTCTGGAGGAGGAAGTCCAGGGGTCCCAGGGTTCTACTTGCTTTTTTCTTCACCCAGCCCAAAGGGCAATTTTCCCACATTCCCTCAGAAACAGGAAGTTCCCCTACCCACACCGAGCCCATTCATGACAAAAAAAAAAAAAAAGTCTATCCAATTTCCTCTGCTCAACCAGTTCCCCGGCTACCTGAGACCCTGCTTCACCTGGAGGAAGACAGTGTAAGTTCCCAGGACCCCCGCCACCCCTCAGCGCCAGAGGACCCTCAGCCTCCCTCGCGCACCTCTGGGCAGTTTGGTAACTCATCCCATCTCCTTCTGCCACTTCACCCTCTAAGCCCTCCCCAGGGAACCCAGGAGGCGTCTGGAAGCTGTTGGGGACAGTCCCTCACACCTGCCCCATGGAGTAAGGGTTCATGTGGATGCCCATCCTCCCCCAGGAGTCCCAAATCTAAGACACTCTGAGACTCCTGTCACCCACCCCCACCTTCCTCTGCGGGCCTTTCTGTGCAGTCCTTCCAGGAAATCCTGGCTGGAGCTGGGCTCTCGACTTTGGGCTCTGGGCTCTCAGTTTGACTGCACCCTCCCCAGGTCCCCAGGGAGGCCAGTGGTGACTATTCTTGAAACCGAGCTTGGCAGAGGATCTGGGGACACGCACTCCAGATGCAAACACATTTGCACTGTTTTGGCTGGAATCTCCTCGCGCAGGGCACTGCACCCGTGGGCTTGCTGAGAAACAAACTCACAGAAGGCGGATTCATTGGACAAAAGGTATTTGGTCCCCAAATTTATTGACGTGTGTGAACGGGAGCCTTCAGGACGAAGACCCAAAGATACGGGGAAAATTGCCATTTTTGATGCTTAGGCTCAACAAAATATGGACATCCATGAGGGAACACAGATTAATCAAAGGACCTGCGCTAATGCTACTGGACCACAAGGGGAAGTGCAGCGAGGGTTGTTGGTCTAGATTTCTTGAACTTCCTGAGCAGCATTCCTTCCTTCTGGGAGTGGAGCAGGACCCTCCTGGAATGGGGTCTTATGCCCTACAGTCAAACAAGGCAGGTCAGATAATTTCTTCATGGCCAGTTTCTGAACACAAAGGTGGAGCAATATTTTTAGGTTTGATGTCTGGCTGTGGGGAAAGGGGGGCTCTGATTTCTATGACCTGCCCTGGGGAAAATGGATTCTAGTTTCTATGACCAGCTTCGGGGAAGAATGGCGCTGAGAGACAGCAGAGCAAGAGAAGGTCAGAGAAAAAACCTTTTGCTTCCGAAGCTGCTTCTGAAGCTGCTTCATTTTGGGGTATTATTTTCTGATCCCCGACACCTGAGCTGCTGAACCAAGGGTAGCCTGACCCACTCCCACATGACTTAGAATAGCTTCACCAGCCGGCCTTGGGCTACCTGGCTCTGGCCCCCTGCCCACCAGGACTTTGGCCGGCTCTCACTTGCCTCTGCGGTGTCTGTCTCACCCTGTCTCACTCCTGCAGTTTTCTGTTCTGTTGAGTGATGATTGACACATGACATTGGTTTTGACATTTGAGCCTGTGCCCAGCCGCAGGTAGGTGGGGCAGGAGTCCTGAGTGAGCATCTCCCTCCTTAGTGACAGTCAGGGGGCACAGAGAATGGTGCCCAGACCAAGGTCAGGGCCTGGGCCAAGTGTGCTCAGCACGTGGTGTGTGTGCTCAAGCGGCTCCTGCTGCGGAGGGCGGCATGAAGCCTGTTTACCTGTGTGCCTGCATCTCTGGTGGCCCCTGCAAGGGTGGGGAAGTGGCAGGCAGGGTGAAATGGGGAAAAGCGGGCTCTCAGCTGCTCCTAGCAGCCTCCGGGTCTGGGGAGAGAAGTGAGGAGGGGCCCAGAGCTGTTCCCAGAACTGCGCCTGTCTCCTGGTCACTCTTCTGGGGCTCTGTGCAGACCCTTGGCAGGGCCAGGCTACACAACACCCTCTACCACCTCCCCTTACTTCTTCCCCTAACCCCTCATTCCTCCACTCTCCTCTCCCCGCCCCTGCCTCCCCTCCATCCTCTCCTTCTCTCCATCTCCCGGTCCCATCCCCTGCCCACACTGCCCCTCCTCGAGTTCAGAGTGCACTCCTGTGCTGCCTGAGGGTCAGAGTGCCCACTCCAGCAGCCCAGGCACCGGGCAGGATCCAAGCTGGAGAGGGCTGGAGCGGGCGAAGCCGGGCACCGGGCAGGCCTGCTGGTGGGCGGGGCATGGGCGGGTCCTTCGAGGGGAGGGGCGGGCTCGGCCAATGAGAGCTCAGAGACCGCAGCACGGGCGCTCCCGGAACCATTGCAAAGGGCGAGTGCGGGAACTCAGAGCCAGAGGGGCGGTCCCTGTCCCAGGTCATCCCCCGAAAGGGCCCGGCCCGGGCTCACCCCGGAAGGACGGGTGCCGAGATCACCCGGGAGCGCTCACCCCACCGGCACCCGTGCCCAAGCCGGCCCCTGCGAAGGCAGGTACCCGAGCACGCTCCGGCGTGGGCGGCCCCTGAGCCCCGAACCCCGAACCCCGAACTCCGGCGCAGTGTCGCGCCTCTGCCCAACGAGGTGCCCCTGACGTGCCTGCTGCGGCTGCCCTGCTCCCCCCAGCCTCCCCGCATCCTGGGATGGGGGAGGGCGCTGGGCGCAGCTCCCGGGCCCTCAGTGGGTCTCCCCGCCCTGCCCCACCGGCCTGGGCTCGGTACCTCGGGGCCCAGATGTGCAGTCAGGTGTGAATGTGGCAAAATTTGAGAAAGGCCTCTGCAGCCGCAAAATCCAGTTCCCACCAGTTGGGGGCCAGGCGGGGAAGGGGGGGAAAGACAGCACTCCGCTGTGGGAGGTGAGGCAGAGCTACCCTGCCTGGGGAGCCTGGAAGGCTGAGCTCTGTCTCCCGTCCGCACTCCAAGACCATTCCAGAAGCCCCTTGGACCTCTGGCTGCTGGTCACGGGGCAAGGTGGACCTGCACTGTGAGAGCTGCACTGTGTTGAGGACAGGTGCAGCTACAGAGGCCTACAGAGGCCCCCCAGGCACAGGGACCCACATCAGCCCTCCGGCCAACAGAAGGTGCTGATGATTTGAGGTGGACCCAGCCACCACTCTGAGCCTCTGCCTCCCTCTAAAAGTGGGGCATGGTGCCTTCCATGGGGCAACGGGGCACTGAGCCTGGCCCACCTGCAGGGGTGGGGTGGAGCAGCGTGTCCCTGTCTCCCCTCCCATGGAGACTGTGTGCCTGGAGACCAGAGCTGTCAAAACTAGAGGAGGGGGCCCCTGATGTGTCCTCTGAAGTCCAGGTAGCGGAAGAGCTCCACTGGGAGGATCCTGCAGTGCTGTCCTCTCTTACAGGCAAGGCCAGGCGGGTGCTGCCTGGGACCCAGTGACTCAGCACCCCCGCCCAGATCAGCTGGACTTTTGCCCCTGCTCCACCAGCCTCCTGCTTGGATCTCTCCTGGGTCTCCCTGCTGTGCCCGTCCAGGATGCAGGGAGCTTGGGCTCCCAGGGACCAGGGCCAGTCCCCTGGCAGGATGAGCGCTCTAGGCCGGTCCTCAGTCATCCTGCTCACCTACGTGCTGGCCGCCATAGAACTTACCTGCCTCTTCATGCAGTTCTCCGTCGTGCCAGTGAGTAACACACCCCAGCCCCTGCAGCCCCAGCCAGGGCTGTCCCGCTGTTCCTCCTGCCTTCCATCTGGGCTGTGGCAGAAAGTGGGGATAGGGGCTTCATGCTGCCAGGGTCCCTCCTGGTTGGGACCCCACGCCACACTTAAGCTGAGTAAGTTAAGGACTCTGCCTCTGGACCCCTGTCAGCACGTCGTGTGCTCCAGCTACAGTGCCAGCCCTGGGAGAAGCCATGGGGAGGCACCCTACTTCCCTCCTGGGGGCAGCACCTCCTCAAACCATCCTAGCGCTGTTCCTCCTGCCTCTCGCCTGGCAGCCTTTGCCCTCTGGAGTGCCTGCCCCATGGGCTGTTCAATCTGATCTGGTTCTGGGCAGTTCACCCCTCAGAGAGGCTCTCCTTGCACCTGCCAGCAGCTTCTACCTCTCCCCTCCATCTTCTTGGGTCCCTGTTGTCCACTAAATGATCTGTGGCGGCAAATTGATCTCAAGCTTTTTCATGCAGGAGATAAAATGCTGTCTTATTTTATTATCTCTGTTGCCAAATGCGGAAACATTTCATTGGCAAATTCATGTTAGTTTAGTGTATCATTCAGTAGTCTACAGCACAGTGTGTGGCTCTGGAAGCTGTAATAGTAACGATTAAATTATATTCACCAAGTCTGGAGAGGCTTGGGAACAAAGTCTCACATCACCAAGAAGCTCAGGCAGAATCAGGGCCAACCCCAGGCCTTCCTGCGTTTGCTTCTGGGAAGCCTGGCGTGGGCTCAGACACCTGCTGTCCTCCTCAGAGGGCCCTCCAGCCCTCAGAGCCTGGACCTGGGCATCTGGGTGGGAGTGGGGATGGGCCTTTGGCATGATTCCGGGCCTGGCAGAGGCTCCCAGCCCAAAGGTGAACCTAAGGATCCCTCCCGGCCATGCCTCAGGAGCCCCGCCCACTCCTGCTAAATGGCTTGGGTCAAGCCCTGAATCTCCTCCCTACCAGTGGGGAAGGCTGGACAGGAGCCTTGGCTTTCTCATTATAAGATGGTAATAACAGTCCCTCCCTGTAGAGCTGGTGCAGGGAAGAGTGAATGAGAAGTCAGAACCCTTCCCACAGCTGGGTACGGAACACAGGTGGAGTAGCTTTGGCCGCCCATCGATTCTCATAGGGTGTAACCCTGTGCTGAGTGCCCAGGAGCTGACCCTGATGTCAGAACCTGAAATACTGCAGAGTGTAAAAGTCCTCAACGGTCCATCCCCTCGGAGCTGGTGGTCTGCACACACAGGGGCTGCAGTGGGAAAGGGGCGAGGTCTTCCTCATAGAGAAGGCAACCTTGGAGCAGGGCTGGAAGGAAGCAGGAGAGGCCCCGGGGCAGTAGAGAGACCAGAGTGGCCAGAGTGGACAGGTTGAGGCCAGAATAGGACCACACCCCACCTGCTGCTCAAAGAACTCTGGGCTGGTGATGGCCGTGGAGCAGGTGAGAGGTGGCTGGATTTTGCATATGTTGTCAATGGATTGCTGTGGGTGTGAGAGAAAGCAGGGCTCAGGGAGCGCTGAAGATTTCGGCCTGAGCCCATAAGGAAGGAGGCATGGACAGGAGGAGAGGCAGTCTTTGGGGAAAGATGGGAGCCCAGTTGGGAACGGGTTGAGTTTGAGATGATTTTAGACCTCAGTGGAGAGCCGAAGGGAGCTGGACACAAGGCAGTTCAGCACAGAGGCTCTGGGGCCCTGCAGCAAGTAGACGGTCATGGAGTGGGCTCCCCCAGAGGGCAGGGAGGCTGGAGGTCGGATGAGCTGGGGGAACTGGCAGTGGTGGCAGAGGGGCAGAGGACCCAGCACAGCCCAGAGCAGCAGACCATGGTGGAGGAGGGAAGAAGCCACCAAAGTAACTGTCACTCCAGTGGGAGGCATGCCAAAGCAGACCACTGGAGGCAGCAGTGTGGGGTCAATGGGGGCCTGGGGGAGAGGGGAGGCAGCAGGAGGCAGGGGCCTGCTCCAAGGGCTGGGAGAGAAGGAAAGAGATGGAAAGAGAGGAGGCTGCAAGGTGAAGCAGCTGCTCAGAGCTCTGCCGGCAAATATGTGGGAGTAGCTGTAGGGGAGGGTCAAGAGAAGGCAAGAGAAGTAACAGGATGTGAGCTTGCTCCAATGGACATCCCCCAGAAGGGGATTGTGCAGAGAAACTGGGAGAGTGGAGCACTGGGAGCTTGCTCCAGTGGGCACCCCCACAGAAGGGGACTGTGCAGAGAAACAGGGAGAGAGGAGCATTGGGAGCCCTGCCCTTGAGGAGGCAAAAGGTTGACATGTGATGCAGGCAGGGAGGATGACTTGGGTAGGCGAGGACAGGTGGGCAGGCATGGGGGTGAGAAGCTCAGCATCCTCTATGAACAGGCACTTCTCAAAAGAAGACCTTCATGCAGCCAACAGACACATGATAAAATGCTCATCATCACTGGCCATCAGAGAAATGCAAATCAAAAGCACAATGAGATACCATCTCACACCAGTCAGTTAGAATGGCGATCATTAAAAAGTCAGGAAACAGCAGGTGCTGGAGAGGATGTGGAGAAATAGGAACACTTTTACACTGTTGGTGGGACTGTAAACTAGTTCAACCATTGTGGAAGACTGTGTGGGGATTCCTCAAGGATCTAGAACTGGAAATACCATTTGACCCAGCGATCCCATGACTGGGTATATACCCAAAGGATTATAAATCATGCTACTATAAAGACACATGCACACGTATGTTTATCATGGCACTATTTACAATAGCAAAGACTTGGAACCAACCCAAATGTCCATCAATGATAGACTGGATTAAGAAAATGTGGCACATTTAAACTATGGAATACTATGCAGCCATAAAAAGGATGAGTTCCTTTGTATACACGGATAAAGCTGGAAACCATCATTCTGAGCAAACTATTGCAAGGACAGAAAGTCAAACACCACATGTTCTCACTCATAGGTGGGAATTGAACAATGAGAACACTTAGACACAGGGTGGGGAACATCACACACCAGGGCCTGTCGTGGGGTTGGGGGACGGGGGAGGGATAGCATTAGGAGATATACCTAATGTAAATGATGAGTTAATGGGTGCAGCACACCAACTTGGCACATGTATACATATGTAACAAACCTGCACATTGTGTATATGTACCCTAGAACTTAAAATATAATTAAAAAAAGAAAAAAAAAAGGGAGAGGCTCAGCATCCTCACACTAGCAGCGCAGGGGAGGGGAGGGATGGAGGAGGCAAAGGTTTACTAGGGGAATGTGGGGTGATTGTCAGGTCAAGCTCACAAACATAAGGGAGACCTGGCAGACAGGGGGACTTTCCCATCCTTGCGGGAGCAGGGATGGAGCTGAAGGAAGGACTCTGGGGTTGGGGGACGGAGGGGTTACTGACTGCCCTTGGGACTGAAGCGCACCGGGGAGAATTCGTGTGGACCAAGGGGGACAGTGGAAAGAAGGGGAGTGGGACCCCAAGACTGAGTTTAGGGAAAGGTCCAGGGTGGGGGGAGGGGGCAGTGTATTAGCATCTGGGGCTGCCTTAACAAAGTATCCAAAACCCTGGGGGCTTAGAGCAACAGAAGCCTATTGTCTCACAGTTTGGGAGGCCAGAAGTGTGAGATCAAGGCTCCTTCTGGAACCCACGGGGGAGGAGCCTTCCCAACTCTTCCAGCCCCTGGGAGCCCGGACATCCCTTGGCTTGTGGTCACATCACTCTGTCTTCCCATGGGTTTTCACAGCATCATCCCTCCGAGTGTGTCTGTGTCCCAAATTCTCCTCCTAATGAGGACACTGGTCACATTAGATCAGGGCCCCCCTCATGTCCTCACTGTGACCCGAGTAACTCTGTAAAGACCCCGTTTCCTAAGAATGTCACATTCTGAGGTTCTGGGGGTTAAGGCATATAAATTTGGGGGGTACACAATGAAGCCCATAATAAGTGACATCACTGGAAGGAGGGTTGGGAACTCAGGCAGGGGCAGGGGGAGGAGTGGCTGCAGGGGGGCCAAAGTCACAGAGAATAAGGGCAAGATAGAAGGGTGTCCCTGGGAGGAATGCTGTCACGGACCTACTCCTCCCGAGGGGCTGGGGGGCTGGAGCCTCACAGAGCAGACTGTCCTGCTGGGCAATAGGCCACCTCTTGGAGGTCACTTGGGGGCCTTGGGACAATCTGTTGCTGGCCAGGACAGTGCTGCTGGCTTCCCCACAAAGTTTTGAATGAATGAAGACAAAATGGTGGGGGTCAGGTGCCTCTCTGAGGCGTGCCCTGCAAAGGGGAAGGACCCTAGAGGCCACCATGAGCTCCCGCCTAGGAGAGGAGTAGCAAGGACCCTAAAGGCCACCACAGGCTTCCGCCTAGGAGAGGAGGAGCAGGGTCCCCCTGGGAAGGGCCCCTCGATAGTCGTATTGTGTAGTCAACAGAGCTCAGGCCCTTGGTCCCCTGCCACCCCCTGCCCATCCGGGAACCCCAGATTCCAGGCCCTGCAGTCTTTCCCAGCCCCTCCCTCTGGGCTCCCTCCTGTGTTTCAGTACCTGTCTCGGAAACTGGGCCTGGATTCCATTGCCTTTGGCTACCTACAAACCACCTTTGGGGTGCTGCAGCTGCTGGGCGGTCCGGTGTTTGGCAGGTACAGTATGTGTGTGTTCAGGGGCCTCTCCCCACAATGACCCAGGCCCCTTCTCAGACGCCGTGGGCTCGGACTGGCCAGGTTCCCCGACCCCATACCAGACCCCCCTGGGATGATGGCACTTCTGGGTCCCAGGCCGGTGGGGGTGCAGAAGAACTTTGGCTCCCGGTAGGCTCCCTGGATGTCCCACCCACGCCTTCCACTAATCCTGGCTGTGGCCACAGAGACAGTGTGATTGGCGAACACCTTGTGGCTGTAAGGGCCCATACATAGGCCTGCTGAGACCAGGCAGGAGGGACTTTGGGGGCCCCATGCACCCTGGGTCTCAGTGCTGTGGGAACACTGAGCGTGGACGGGACGGGGACATCCTTCCACAAGCCACAGCGGACAGGGGAGCAAGGGAGACATAATGGGAGTTGCCTCTTCAGAGCAACCGGTAGGCGGAAATGAAGGGTTCCGCAGGCAGCAGACCGGCAGAGGTCTGAGGGTTTCCAGTGGCTCAGAACAGGAGGGAGAAAGGCTCTGCTTTCTCAGACCCAACCTGGGAAACACTTCCTGTAAAACACCGGCCCATCCCTTGGTCCTCTGGGATTCCACCATTTATTTTTACACGGAGTTGGTCTTTGTGCCCTGGGTCAGACTCCCAGCTCAGTGAAGCTGTCTGCACACAGCCCCACTGGGACGCTGGGGAAACTGAGGCCCTGAGAGGAGGGAGGCCTCCCAGCAGCCGCCCAGGCGTCCCGGCCGTCCATCCCCATCCGCACTCCAGCCTCCCTGGTCAGCGCCACTTGGGCAGCCCCTGGACGGGGGGAAGGGGAGACGTGACTGCCTCCGTGAGGGTCTGACCCGCCCCTTGGACCCCAGGTTCGCAGACCAGCGCGGGGCGCGGGCGGCGCTCACGCTCTCTTTCCTGGCTGCCTTGGCGCTCTACCTGCTCCTGGCAGCCGCCTCCAGCCCGGCCCTGCCCGGGGTCTACCTGCTCTTCGCCTCGCGACTGCCCGGAGCGCTCATGCACACGCTGCCAGGTAGGGCCTGGGGACTGGGGGCCAGGTGGGGCCAGGTAGGGGCAGCCTGCGGAGGACCCAGGACACCGCCAGGGAGGTCTGCGTGCGTGTGGGGTCTGGCCCTAAGGGCTGGACAGGGGTGGGGGCGACGTGGGGCGAGGCTTGTGGAAGGGCAGGTCAGGGGTAGAAAGGGCTTGGGAAGGTGGGTGGGGGAGGGGCCCACCGAGGGGCTTTCCCTGCTCAGCTCCCCCGCCCCGTCCCCAGCTGCCCAGATGGTCATCACGGATCTGTCTGCACCGGAGGAGCGGCCTGCGGCCCTGGGCCGGCTCGGCCTCTGCTTCGGCGTCGGCGTCATCCTCGGCTCCCTGCTGGGCGGGACCCTGGTCTCCGCGTACGGGTGAGTGGCGAGGGCCCGGGACAGAGGCTGCGGGTCAGGACGCCAGCGGCTGAGTCGGCCCCGCCCCCTCTCGGCCTCGGTTTCCCCTTTTGCTTGTCGGGCGGGCTGGGCTGGGAACCCGCGGGGGCACGAGTGGCCACGTGATGTCGCTAAAGGGAACACCTGGCTCCGCGCTAGGCCTAGGCCTGACCTCCGAGCTGGCCCTGGATGGGGCCAGGTGATGTGTCAGTGCTGTCCGGGGCTCGACTGAGTGCGAAGCTGTCCACGCACAGCCCCATTGGGACGCTGGGGAAACTGAGGCCCTGAGAGGAGGGAGGCCTCCCAGCAGCCTTCTGCTGGGGACAGGAGCACCCGGGGACCGGGATGCTGTGGCAGCGGGGCTGAGCTGTTGGATGGTGCCCAGAGTGGAGAGTCCAGGGGGCGCCCAGGCGGGCAGCGGGAGGATGGGGGGATGCCAGGCTTCCCATTTGCCTCCTGACGGTCCCTTGCTAGCTGTCCCTGGAGGCTGCGAGGGTGGCCCAGGAGGGTGCCCCCGGGAGGGGGACCACAGCAGGGACTCTGGTGGGATAAGGAGGATCCATGGATCTGCTGCCTCCTTCTGGGAGCTCTTCCTGACTCAGTTTCCTCAGCTCTGAAACGTAAATCCTGATAGTAGCGGCATGGTCATGGGACAGTAGATGAAGTCACAACTGTGCCCTGCCCCCAGCTTTGTATTATACACCCGGGGTCTCCCAGGCCCTGCGCCAGCTGGCGACCCCCACCCTCTGCTGGCCTGTGAGTTTCCCTGAGGCTCCATTCTGGAGTGGAGTCTTTCTGGCATCTGAACCCCCCTCACATTGGAGATGCCCCTTGGCATGAGGCAGGCACTTCTGTGGACAGCAGGCTCTCCAGTCCTGGATGAACTGATCGCAGTTCCCAGGCCAGGCACCCCCAGGACCTCGAGACAAACCCTAACAATGGTGGAGGCCACTGGGCGCTGGCGCAGCCCCAGGGATCAGCGCCGGGAGGGCACAGTGGCCTTGTTAGCACACTTCCTTCTCCGGAGGGCTCTAGGGCTGTGCTGCAGGCCTTGTTTGAGCCCCTGAATGTTCTCCCAGCATTTTCATTAGAGCCTGGGCTGGGGACTGGTGGCTGCTGATGGCTGTGAGCAGGAGGTGGAGTAGGGTGGGGTGGGCAGTTTGTCCGAACACCTAAACACTGCCCCCAGGACTCTGGTTCTAGAATACAGTAGCAGACAACACAGGCTGAGTCCCTGAGATGAATGGAATGTGATAGGAATTCCCGTAACATCAGGCTGAGCTACATGGAGCAAAAAGTCACAAAGCAGAATGGGGGGCTCAATGGATGGGGTCACTAGGGATTGTCCGAGGAGGTGGCATCTGAGTCGAGGCCTGAAGCAGGTGAAGGAGGCAAAGAAACCACGGTACAGAGGCCCTGAGTGTGGAAGCCAGGGGGCCGTGTGGCTGGAGGGAGGGAGGAGCGGCAGGCGCCAGGCCGGGGTGCCCTGGGTGGCACAGCAGGGGTGAGAATGGGGGGTGAGCACCCCTGTAGGAAGACCGGTAAGGCAGCCATTGTGCCGGCCCAGGTGGGGGAGGATGGTGGCCGGACTAGAGGTGATCGTGGTGAGAGAAAGCAGAGGGCAGATTCTGGCTTGGTTCTGCCAGTGGGTGAGATGTGGGTGTGAACTCAAGATGGCAGTGTCAAGGCTGTGCCTGACCGTGGGGAGACTGGCAGCCTTGTGCAGAGGCCCAAGCAACCTGGGGCACCACTGGGATTTGGGTCTTGTTCGGGCCCAGCCTGGGTGCCTGTCAGGCACTCCAGGGAGCTACTGAGTAGGCACCCAGATAAGGGGGAGAAACGGGATGCATCTTCAAGTATGGATGACTTGGAACCCTGCGCCCCCCAGCACTTCATGTTTTGGGGCTGGGAGGCGAGGAGGGAGCATGTCCTGGGAGCCAAGGGTCACAGGATTTGTGGGGGTCAGGGACCCATGCCTCTACCACTGGTGGCCAAGGAAGCCACAGTGGCCCAGCATCTGCAGAAGGGAGGCCATCCCAGTTCTGAGCACCACCCACCCCCCACGCCAGTGCCAGCTGCAGAAGCCTCATGCAATAGACGGGTCAAGGGAAATGGGGAGACAGGAGAGGGGTTCGGGAAGTCGTGCTGTAAACGAGGGCAGAGATGGGTCCAGGAGGCTATGCTTAGGGCGGGAGGAGCCATGGGGAGGCGTCCTGGGGAGAGGGAAGGGCTGATGTGGGAGTCAAGCACATTGCTGGTAGGGTGTCCCTGGAGGATGGGGCTTAGGGCAATTGCGTGGGCAGCTGTGGTGGGACAGCAGGGTCCACTCCCCCTGGAGCCAGGGGGCTGGCAGGTGTGAGGCATGGGGAGCCGGCACTACCCAGGGCCTGCCTCTCCAGGGTGGCCGGGGCGAGGAAGGGCGTGAGAAGGGCACGGGGAGGAGCGCTGGGCCCCAGCAGGTGGCTGAGCTGGGCGGCCGCCCTCCCAGGGTGCTGCCCACCCCGGGGACTCTGCCGCCTCAGGGCCCAGCCGCCTGCTGCTGCCTCCTTCCCTGGCCAGCCTTCCTCAGCCATTAAGTGGGCCCTCCCCTGCCCTTACCCACAAGGATGCTGGGAGGGTCTGAGCTCGCTCAAGCGGTGAGTGTGGCCATGATGCTGGAGAGCTCAGCATGCACGCCTTCTGCAGGCCCAGCTACCAGGCCACAGGTCCCCTCCTGGCCTCACCTGCCCTTTCCCCCATCCCAGCTGCTGACCCAGAAGACACTACTCATGTCCCTCTCCCTCCCAGTAGCTGCCAAGACGGCCTCTACCTCTGCCCACACCTGCCAGAACATTCCATTCGCTTCGCTGCCTCCATTCATCCTAAGATCTGAGGCGCTTTACAACCTTGATGGTCCATAACCAGACCAGCTGCGACATTTCCTTTGATGAGTGGGGTAACTGAGGCCCAGGAGATGGTGAGGCTCCCTCCGTGGAGCTCCCCAGTCCCCGTCCAAGGCCCAGGCAGTGTGGGACTCCCTCAGGGTCCTCATACCACGCCCAAGACATGGGGTGCTGCTTGGGCCCTGTAGCACTAGCTGGCTGCCCAGAGTGGTGGTGACACGGGAGGGCTGCGGGGGTGAGCTTGTGGCTGGTACTCTGCCTTTGTCCAACCCATATGGGGTGAGGGAGGCCCACACCTCCTCCTTGGGGGCTCACCAAAGGCAGTGGGGCCAGGTGCTGGCCAGGCTTCAAGGCCTGGTGCCCCATGGCAAGGGCCAGCCCCCGGCCCTCTTGGTCCGGCAGCCCTGACGCCCCTAGCCTGCTCTGGCTCCTGGCCTAGTGCAGGACAGGAGTCTGGTGCAGCTGTGAACACCCCCTGCCTTGCAGCCTTCCTGCTCTTCCTTAATGAAAACCGAGGCAGGATGTGCATGGGATCTCCCTCCCTGCCCACCCACCTATGTATCCTATTCCCCTGAAAGGCCCCAGTGCTGCCTCATCCACACCTACCTGGGCAGCAGGTGGGAGGAGGAAGTGGACTTGGCACCCACAGGCTGCGGGGGCGGGCACTGGTATAACTGGTTTGGCCCAGCCTCCAGAGCCCAGGGCTGAGAGGCCAGGCTGGCCTGGGGAGGGACCCGGGACCTGAGTCACTGCACACACGCTGGGTGGGGGGTGGCTCTGTGACTCATATTCTGAGCCCATCCTCTCAGCCTGGGGAGAGATGGGGAGAGGCCATAGAGTCCTATCCCGAGCCAGACAGCAGGGAGTTTGCCTTCTCTGGGTGGACAGGCAGCCATCAGGGCAATGCCTATGGGGGTGCCAGGGCCCTGTGGGCAGGACACCCCTGCCCAGCTGAGAAAAAATGAGAAGCCAGGGGCACCGGAGCTCAGAGGGGCAGGAGGGGGTGGGAGGGGAAGTGAGCAGCACCCCATATGACACAGGGCACCCCAAATGCTGAGCAGAGGCTGAGGAGTGCGGGGTGTTTGTAACAGGGCACCTGTTGTACAGGGAAGAGGCTCTTGGGGGCAGGTGGACACAGGGCAGGAGCTGGCAGGCAGCTGAGGGGGCAGCAGGATATGGGGGATCCGGGCCCGCTCCCACCCCAGCCAGGTGACTCAGCCACTGCCTTAGTCCGTGTGCCTCCCAGTGCCCAGGACACTCCGGTTCTTTCTGTTCTTCCCGCAGCAGGGAGGGAACAGGCCCCGCTGAGATGGTTCTGGCCCAGCCATCCCTCAGGACAGCCCTGGTGAGCAGTGGGCCGGACAGGCCTCCTGCTGGGCCTGTGAGTCACTCCAATCTCAGAGCCCATTTGGGGCAGGAGGGAGCTTGTGGTTTGGTTGGAGGGCTATGTGTTTGGGGAATGGGAGGACCAGGTACTGGGAGACACAAGGACTGGGAAGGGTCTGGCCAGAGGGGCCTTTAGGACCTTCTGGGGCACCCTGGAAGCCAGAGGGCAACTGAGTTAGGAGTGGCATGGCAAGATGTTCTTTTTCAAACATGGTTCTAACTGCAGCATCCTGGGGCATGGGTGACTTCTCCCGGCCCTGGGCTGGACATCCAGGGACGCTCTGTACGCCCCCCTGCCCCGTCCTCTTATGAGCTAGGTGTCCCGTGAAGCCAGGTCCCAGCTGATCCAGCCTTGGCCCCACCTGTGGGTTTGCTCCTGGCAGCAGAATGACCTGGGCATATGTTGTCACCTTGTGTGTCCCCTCTCAGAGCCTCAGAGCAAGGTGAGGCTTGATGAGGGCTTGTCACTGTAGACCACACAGGAGTCCAGACTTCACCGGAGCTTCCTGGAGACACAGGCTGAAAGCCAGCTCCACCCCCTGCTGTCTGGGCCGCGTCAGGTGTGGGCTGCGGTTGGTGGGCGGGATGCAGGTGGACTGGGCCCCGCAGGTCCAGAGGGGCCCCAGAACAGGAGAGTGAGGGGCAGTGGCAGCTGTGAGCCCAGCCCAGCCCAGCCCATATTTGCATATAAAGAAAGGAGGTCACCTAGCAGGTGAGCGGCAGAGAAGGGACAGAGGCTCTGGGTCCCCTGAGTCGTGTCCAGTGTCCTTTCAGCAGCATCTATGTGTCCAGATAGACACTCCTGTAATACATTCAACCGAAAGAGGAGGGGGGGACAGACAAATTAACCTGTCCCCATCTTGCTGGTCGTGGCTCCATTGATAAAAGGGTTGGATGCACCCCTGGTGCCCCTGCATCTGGCAGATCGGGGTGAGGTTGAGGGGGACTGAGCAGGAGGGACTGACTGCACTGTGCTCAGGGTGCTGGGGGATGCCCAGGCTGTCCGGCGTGCAGAAGCCCCAGGGTTGAGGACAACGTGCTGGATTTCCTTCCCACTCCCGTTTCCCTCCCGGCAGTTTGTTTGTGGAGAGCAGGAGAGAGCTCTGACTGGGGAAGGACAGCCTGCCTCTCCCCCAGCAGCCACCTGCAGCCCCCAGCACAGTTGCGGCCCTGACTCCCTCCCTCCTGGGGCCCTCCAGGGTCCCCCAGTCCCAGGCTCTCCTGTTGCCCACAGCAGCACTGGCCTTTGGTTTGCCCACCACCACTCGAGGGCCTGGATCCCTGCCACCACACCTTGCTTGTCACCAGCCTCCTAAAATAGCCATCGAAGTGGTGCCTCTGCTCCTGTGTACTTCTGGGGGCATCTGGCAAAGAAGGCAGGTTTTGCCCCTGCCCAGCCAGACCCTGAGCTGTGACATGCAGGCCTCTGAGGCCAGGATCCCAAAGAAAGGGCCCTTCTCTCTGGGGCTGGCCACAGGGGTCAGGTGTCCCTCCCAGCTGGAGGGACAAGCTGTGGGGCCCTAGCCCACCCCTGCCCCTTCCCTGGCATTTTCCCAAAGGAAGGGCCCATTCTTGCAGAAACCCAGCAGCCAGAAAGCCCGAGTAGGTGACGTCCTGGGCGGTGGGTGCTGCAGGGGTCAGAGCTGCCCTGATGGATTGGCGGGGGCAGCAGCACAGGCCGGGTGGATGTGCCGGCCCACCCCAGACTGATGTGAGCTCAGGGGTCCTGCCTGAGAAATGAGGGGTGGCCAATGCCCAGACTCTCTGGACCCAGAGGTGGCCCCACTGACGGTCCTAGTCAGTGTGGCACCAAGTCCCTTCCTTGCTCTGGCAAACAGGTGCATGTCAATGCATGTGTACAAGTTTGCCTGTGTGCATGTGCGTGTGTGCATGTATGTGTGTGTGCGTGTGCACGTGTGTGTATGTGTGTGTGTGCATGTGTGCATGTGTGCACGTGTGTGCGTGTGCACGTGTGTATGTGTGCATGTGTGCATGTATGTGTGCATGTGTGCATATGTGCGTGTGTGTGCGTGTGCGCATGTGTGCATATGTGTGCATGTGTGCATATGTGCGTGTGTGTGCGTGTGCACGTGTGTGTGCACGTGTGTGCATACGTGTGTATGTGTGCATGTGTGCATATGTGCATGTGTGTGCGTGTGCACGTGTGTGTATGTCTGCATGTGTGCACGCGCGTGTGTGTGTGTGCACGTGTGTGTATGTGCACGTGTGTGTATGTGCGCGTGTGTGCATGCGTGTGTGTGTGCACGTGTGTGTATCTGCACGTGTGTGTGTGTGCATGTGTGCATATGTGCGTGCATGTGTGGCTGTGGTGAAGGGGGGCAGAGGAAAGTCCTTTCTTTGAACTCCTTGGTGGGGACACAGTGGCCTATGGCTGGCCTTGTTTTCGGGTGCAAGGGCATCTTCCAGGATCCTGACCCCTCCTGGTGTCTGTGCCCTGAGGCCCTGGCCAGGGCAGATTTGGAGGCTCTGTTGAGGTTGGGGCAGAACTTGTGCTGCCTGTGTGACTGGCTCACACATCTCTCCGATCATCGGATGATCACTGCGGTCTCCATGCAGGGTCCCACCCCGGCCCACCTGCCCTCAGGGGCCAGATTCTAGCCAACTGGTAAAGTGAGTCCTTCTCAGATGGCATGCTGTCTGGGAAGGAGGGCTGGGGCCTCACCAAGAGGGGCCCTTGCAGGCTGTATAGGAGTTTGCTCAGCTGCTGAGAGGAAGGCTGTGGCAGTCCGGCACAGGCCTGGAGGCCTTACAAGCGAGCTCAGTAGGAAGCCCCGATTTCCTCCTGTCTCTCCTGAGGGGAGGGGGCTGGCTCAGCCCCCAGGAGGCAATGGTGACAGTCGGAACAGCCAGCTCCACGTGCCTGTGTTCCCAGGTGACAAAGTCTGCTGGTTCCTTCCAGGAGAATCACAGGCCGAGTTTCCAGGTGGGGACTCATGGCAGGGAAGCTGACAGCAGAGCCAAAGTCACCGGCCTTGGTAGTGGCCCAGGCAAGTGGGAAGGTGGCAAAGCAGCCTGAGGGGCACATCTGCAGCTTTGCAAGGCTCTGGGATCCCAGCCCAAAGCCCCCACCAGGCCCAGCATGCCCCACCCACTCTGGAAAGTGGGGAGGGGTCTGACAGGAGGGGAGGTGATTTCTGAGGGCCCGCTGAGTGCCAGGCCCACTGGTGCCCACGCTGGGGAGGCAGCATGGCCATCCCCGTGACACAGCACAGGTGCCGAGGTCTCGGAGAGCCCCTCCCAAGGGCACGCAGACCAGGCTGGCCCTCTGGAGCCCCTCCTGACCTTGACCAGCCAGGGAGCTGCTGTCCCTGGGAGGATCTGCTGCCTGCTACCCACGGGGGCTGCCGGGGCCTGCATGGTGTGGTGAGGGTCAGGGATAGTGAGCGCCCTACCCGTTCCTTCATCCATCACCTAATAAATGTGCTCTGAGGGTCCCAGTCCCTGCTTTTTGGGCCACAGACTGTGGAGATGTGGGAGTCAGGTTTAAGCTATTTTAGTGTGACTGAAGGCGCAGGTTGGGGGATGTGGCTGGGGCGCCTGGGCCCTGGGACCCGCGCCCTGTGCAGCCAAGACTGTTGCCCGCAGGATTCAGTGCCCGGCCATCCTGGCTGCCCTGGCCACCCTCCTGGGAGCTATTCTCAGCTTCACCTGCATCCCCGCCAGCACCAAAGGGACCAAAACTGACACTCAGACTCCACCGCCAGGTAAGCCCCGCCAGGTAAACCCTGCCCAGATGCTGGGTGTATGGGTGGCACTGGCTAGGCCTACATGCTCCAGCCAAGGGGCACAGGGGCCTGAGGGGAAATCTGGGGGCTACTCACACCCTCCTGCCTTCCGTGAACCCCTCCCAGCTGCTGACATCATAGGAGCCAAGTGAGGTGTGGTCATGAAGAAGTGGAAGTGGGGCTCCGGCAAGCAGGGAGGCCCAGAGAGGGGGGAGGCCCAGACAGGGAAGGCATTAGGAGGGGAGGCTCAGAGAGGCCTGGGGAGGACCAGGAGGGACCCCCAACAGGGTGGGTGGATCAGTAAGGCTTCCAAGGCTCTGAGTGTCCAGGGAGAGGTGAGGGTTCTGCCCGAAGGGCACTGATTGGTGGAGGGCAGAGGATGGTCACGCCGGTCCCACGAGGAGAGGCCAAGGCTCCTCAGAGGGGCTCCCCTGAAGGCTGGCCCCCTGCTGAACCCAGCCCCTGAGTGCCAGGCACGTGGCAGGACCCATGCCTCGGTGCCTAGGGACTAAGAGCTCAGCCTGGGACGGAGGGACCCACCCGGGGTCATCCTGGGACAGGAGGCTGTGATGGAATTAACCTAGAAAGTCCGGGGGGGGGCCAGGCGGAGCTCGGCCTGTGGCAAACACAGCAGAGCCAGAGAGGCAGGAGCCCTGGGGAAATAGCGAGGAAGAATGCGGTGAGCCGGGCTGGGGACCCGCGGCTCTGCACTCGAAGGTGTCCGGTTGGCCAGGCCACCGCGGTGACTTGTGGCCACAGAGAGGGGCGCAGCGTTGCCATTGTCTTCCTCTGGGCTGGTGGCCTGGTCATGCTCGGCCCCAGGCCCCAGGCCAGGACCATACAGGAAGCAGCTATTGGTCCCTTGTTCAGGGACTGCCACAGGCCTGCATCCTTGCAAGCCCAGGTTGAGGCCAGGCTACCTGCTTGCAGAGAATGCTTTTCCTGAGTGCCTCTGGGGATTCAGGGGGCCCTTAGGAATGCGTGGCAGTATGCTGAGGGGCGGTGCCCACCTCGGGGCTGGGAGCATCACCAGCTCCCATTCCCACAAGTGAGTGGCACTGAAGCCAAGGAAGGAAGCTCTACCCAGGGGGACGCAACAGGAGCCTAGGAGCGGCGAGGCCTGCAGCTGGGTGAGGGGTGGGCATTGGGACAATGGTCTCTCCGTGCCAGGCGGCCCCAGGGCCAGTGTGTTTGACCTGAAGGCCATCGCCTCCCTGCTGCGGCTGCCAGATGTTCCGAGGATCTTCCTGGTCAAGGTGGCCTCCAACTTCCCCACAGGTGAGTCCCAACTACTGCCCCGACAGCGGCCAGAGCCTGGCAGAGTTCCAGCTGTGGCCAGGGCCTAGCCCTTCCTCTAGCCCGTGTCCCACAGGTCCACGCAGATGTGGTAGAGCAGGCGGGAGCAGGAGGAAGGCAGAAAAGGGTCTTTCCCGCCTCCTTCCAGCCCCTCCACACTGTGCAGCTGCACATCCCAGGGAGGGTCCCCACAGGCAGAGGGCCTGGCTCGCAGCCATGCATCCCTGCATGCTCCTCAGCTCTTCACCCTCCTACCCTGTGGCCCCACGTGCTCTGCAGACAGCCTGAGATGCAGGGACAGCAAGTCTGAGTGTCAACACCACCTTCTGAAGCATGCTGGCCCAGCAGACCCTAGGCTGTCACAGACCACAGATAGGACAGCGAGCCATGGACAAGCCCAGGAGCAGCCCTGTCCCTCGGAAGCCCGGCCTGGGCTCCTCTAACTGGGAGGCCAGGAAGCAGGATGGAGAACAGGCCCTCAGCACTCTGACTGGCCCCGGCCTCTGTCCCACCCAGCCCACCCAGGCCAGCTCTGTTGGTTCTCAAAACTGGAACCCAAGTTACTAACCTCAGTAACAGGCCCTTTGAGGGCCTGTTTTTTGAGACCACTGCCCAGGCTGCTGTGCGGTGGCGTGATCTCAGCTCACTGCAGGCTCCACCTCGCAGGCTCAAGCAATCCTCCTGTCTCAGCCTCCCGAGCAGCTGTGACTACAGGCATGCGCCACCACCCTCAGCTAATTTAACTGTTTGTAGAGACAGGGTCTCACTATGTTTTCCAGGCTGATCCCAAACTCCTGGCCTCAATCAGTCCTCCCTCCTTGGCCTCCCAAAGTGCTGGGATTGCAGATGTGACTTTGAGGGCTGTTATAATAGACAGCCATAGTGGGTCTTGGGGCCAAATCCTCCCAGATGGTCAGCCCTGGGTCCCTCCCTTCCAGCACCTTCCCGCTCACAGTCCAGAGCTTAGCAACTGCATGGGAGGCATTTCCCACACCAGGAATCCAGCAGAATCCCAGGGAAGGGTCTCATTGGTCCGGCTGGCATCACAGACCCCTCCCTGAACCAGTCACCGGCCAGGACCCAGACACCCTGATTGGCCAGGCTGCTGAGGTGGGAGGGAGGTGGGCGCCAAGGCCGGGGTGTGGGGGTGCTCACCCCGTTCCCCTGCCCCGGCTCAGGGCTCTTCATGGTCATGTTCTCCATCATCTCCATGGACTTCTTCCAGCTGGAGGCCGCCCAAGCTGGCTACCTCATGTCCTTCTTCGGGCTCCTCCAGATGGTGAGTGGACACACAGGGCCTGCTGGGGGGCACGGCAGGGGTCTCCAGTGGGGCAGGCCTCTGAGAGTAGAGGCTCCTCCCCGGTGGAGGCTGGCGAGCCCTTGGCCTCCCATCTGGTATATGTCAGGGCCCACAGGGAACCAGGCATACAGGCCAGGGAGGCAGAGCCAGCTGCAGTGGTGGGCACGCTGTGAGGACAGTGGACTCTGGCCTCTGATGGGCAGCCAGCTGGGGTCTGTGGCAGCCCACCTGCCCACCAGCTGTGTGACCACAGCAAGTCTCCCAACTGCTCCATATCTGTCCTATGAGGCCAAAGTGCCCGCCTTGCAGGGTCCTTGGCAGATGAAATGACCTAACATGGCAAAGTGGGCAAAGTGCTTAGACCAGTGTGGGCCCCTTTGGAGGTCTCACAGGAGCAAGATGCCAGCCCTCAGAGGCCACGCTGTCATGGAAGAATGCCCTGAAACCCTGGCAGCTCCGATGCGGCAGGTGTCTTGTCTGCCCCCGAAAAACCGCTCAGTTACCGGGCCAGGGCGAGCCACCTTCACCGCCAGCTCCTCTGGGCATCTGGACCAGACCCTGGGGTGGTGAGGACAGGTCATGATGTGCCGCCACCCGAGATGGCCGCCTGACAGCCAGAGCATGGGGCGGGGGCTATTCTGGGACCTACCGGGGTGGGGACAGGGGCTTTCGGCCTCTCCGGAAGCCTGTGGCATTCCTGGCACCTCCAAGTCATCTGCTCTTCAGCCTCTGGACCCAGGACTAGACTAGTGCTAAAATAGCTGCTCCTGGGAGGGGCTAGACCCCCACCGTGGGCAGGGAAGGCCTCGGTTTTGTGGGCCAGGAGGAGCCACCCTGGCAGAGTAAAAAGAGATAAACAGAAAAACAGCAACAGCAACAATAATAGTAACAATCCGGGGCTGGTGCCATGGGGCCTGTTCTGAACAGGCTGCACCCAGCTCACTGCAGGGAAGGATGATTAGCCAGACCCTGGCTGAAGTCTGCAGCTGGGCTGGACACTGCAGTCATTAGCCTGTGTTGTGGGGCACTTGGGCCTGCCATGGCTGCAGTAGGGCCCCTGCCTGAGACAGAGCTGGGGTGGTGACCAACACCATCGGGACACCCTCGCAGGAACTGGGCCTGGTGAACTGCCCAGGGACGGGGAAGCAGTGGGGTGAGGCCTGGGGACCCCGACACAGGCTGAGCAGCAGGAGAGGAGGCTGAGGAGGGGAAGGAGAGGCCCGCAGAGTAGCCCCCAGGCCCCAAGTCTGGGCAGGGACAGGCTTGTTAGCTCCAGGTTCATGTCACAACCTGCAGGGCTCCTAAGTTCAAGCTTTTTTAAACTTATTGGGTAAATTGAGACGCAACACAAATAGGCTTCTGGCCTTGGTGTCTGAGTCCTGGCTTGAAGTCATTCACGGCACTCACCGTGAGCTACTCCTAAGCGCATTGCATGAAGTGAAACTTGCCAGCTCTTCCTTTTAAAAACGTGTTAAAATCCCCAAAAACCCTAAGATAAAGCAAGTGTGAAGGTGAGATTTTTAAACCGTTTATGATTCCGTTGGAAGCAATTTCTGTTCTGCCGGGCAGGAAGTGGGGAGAGTGACCGGTGCCCTGCAGAGGTGCTGCAGGCTGGGCCTGCCCTGCAGGCAGATACTGAGCCCAGGAACTCCTCCAGCGGGGCCACCCCTGCACTCCCCGGTGCTTTGGCCCAGCACACCCTGCTCGGTGGAGGAGCTGAGATGACCCAACAGGGAGCCTCGCCCTGGCCTGGGAGCAGCCTGCGGCCGAGCCTGTCCCACTGGGTCCATCCCTGGTGTCCCTGGTGTGGGCCTTTCCTTCCTCCCTGTGGAGAGGAGCCCCATCTCCTCAGGGACCTCAGACCCATCCTGACGCAGTCACTGCTGGCAGGGTGGGGAGAGACCCCGGGGCTTGCAGATGCTGAGGGGCCTTCTCTGCAGAGGGGCCCTGGCCACCAAAGGCCAGTCTGGAGGTCCCCTGCTTGGGGGCTGGCCACAGTCCAGACGCCCCTCCCTCGCCTCTCCCATACCCACTTCTACCCTCTCTGTCTGGTCTAGGTGACCCAGGGCCTGGTCATCGGACAGCTGAGCAGCCACTTCTCGGAGGAGGCGCTGCTCCGGGCCAGCGTGCTGGCCTTCATCGCGGTGGGACTGGCCATGGTGAGGGCTCCTCGCTTTGGGCCCCTCACCTGACCCTCTCACTGGGCAAGGCCACTTGGGCAGTGCCATCTGTGCTTGAGCCCCTGGGGCCGCCTCCACCCCTCCACACCCACCCAGGGCCAGCTCTTCAGCAGGGGCAGCAGTCAGGGTGGAGAGGGACAGGTAAGACCCCGGAGAGGAGCCTGGTCCCGTGAGGCCCCCACTCAGCTCGGCCCCGCCTGCCGTCCCAGGCCTGGATGTCCAGCGTCTTCCACTTCTGCCTCCTGGTGCCCGGCCTGGTGTTCAGCCTCTGCACACTCAACGTGGTCACCGACAGCATGCTGACCAAGGCTGTCTCCGCCTCGGACACAGGTGAGCTGTGGCCCGCTGGTGGGGCAGCCTCCTCCAGGAAGCCCTAGGAGCTACCTAGTGGGGCTGGGGTGGGCAGCCTAAGGTCTGTGTGGGGTGGGTAGGGGTGGGAGGCCTGGGGTCTGTGTGGGTTGTGTGGAGTGTGTGGAGTCGGGGGCCTGGGGTCTGTGTGGGGTGGGTAAGGCGCACAGCCTGGGTCCTGCATGAGACTCCTGCCCTACCACCTAGCCCAGCTGGGGGCAGGCCAGGGGCCTGGGAGGGGGCTGCCCAGAGGTGGCCGTTAGCTTGGCCCTGAGAAGCACCTAAGGGCCTTGCCTGCCAGACCTGGAGGCCCCAGGGACTTCTGGGCCCTCCCCCAGCATGGAGGCGGGCACACAAGTGCTCAGGAGCTTCCTGAAGGAATGAGTGAGTGAATGAACGCACAGCAGTAATTAAACCCAGGAAGCCCCTAGGTCACTGCGGGGACACAGGTACCCCAGACATAGATCCCCCAGCCCCCACTTCGGACCCAGCTTTCTTTCTTGAGGCCTAAGAAAGCCCCTCAAGCAGACTGAGGGTGCCCTGGGCCCAATGGTACCCAGGCTCCTGCCCCACCCCAGGCACAGTGTGGCTACACGCTAGCCAGTGCAGGGGGCTCCTGTGGGCTGGTTGAGGTCAAAGGAGTCAGGGAGTCATTTGCAGTACTGGAGATTCTTCCAGGACTCCCCAGCAGCAGAGCCAGGAAGCTCAGGGCACACATCTGACTCTCCGTGCACTTGCCTGTCTGGGAGGCAGCAGACCGAGGTCTAGAGGCCCGAATGTGGCTGGGCTGCAAAGGACAGGCCTCTTCTCAGGACTGCCTGGGAACCTCCAAGGCCTTCCAGGACTGTGACTCCACGGTGTATGGGCTGATGCGGGCTGAACCAGGAGGGCTTCCTGGAGGAGGTTGGGCAGCACTTTGGAGTGGCCAGGAGGAGGGCACAGGAGAGGAAGGCCTGGGGAGATAAGGACCAGGTCGGGCTGGGAAGAGGCCCCTGGAGGCTGAGGGAGACCCAGCCCAGGCCACTGGGCCACATCATGCACAGACACCACCCCTGGCCTGGAAGGAGCCAGCACCTGGTTCCCAGCAGCAGCCTGGAAACCCAGCGACAGAGGGGGCAGAGGACAGAAGGGGCAGAAACTGCACCCTGTGTCTGCAGAAGAGGCTGCTCTGGTGCAGCAGGCAAGGCTGCTCTTAATGATCCTCCACACTGGGTCCTGAGCCCAGGTGGGGCCTGGCCAGCTCCTCATCACAGCTGACCAGCCCCGGGATTTCCAACTCCAGGAGACCTGGGCTCTGAAGTCCCTGGAGCCAGAGACCCTCTGGGCACAGGACCAGAGGCAGAGAGTGTCCTCCCAGCTGGAGGCCTGGGGGTTCCTCCGTTCAGTGAATGCTGCCCCCATGTTGCCCGAGTGTTGACAACAGCCACAGATAGTGCCCATGTGCCTGTCCATGCTGGGGGTCGCTGGCCAGAGGGGTGTGGAGATGGGGTGTCAGGGACAGAGCAGGCTGCCGCGCACGTGTGGGCTGTCCGGGGAGCCTGGGAAGCGGCTCAGTCTTGCTGGGGCTGCAGGAGGGGCAGGTGGAGGGGCTCTGCACGGGCTCCCGAAGCCCCTGTGGGAGGAGTTCCTGGAGTAGTAGGAGCTCCGCAGGGGGGCGGCTGGAGGAGGGGCTGATGGCCAGGAGGGGCTATGGGGGTGGGGTGTCATGTCCACTCTGAACTCAAGCCCCAACAGTGTCTCACAGGCCAGGCTTAGCCTCCCCACTGCATCACCAGCCCTCGGTGGTGGCAGGCACCCTGGGAAAGAGCCGTGAGAGCCAGCTCCCTGACACCCTGGGCGGGAGGTTCCGGGCCCCAGGCACAGATGCCATCTCCCTTGGCAGGCCTGGCAGGGCGGGGCCTGCTGCGGTGACCTGTGGCCCCATTCCCAGGCTCCTCCTGTGCTTGAAAACTTTCTGGAGCAGGGAAGAGACTCGGCCCAGTGCCCCGGGAAGCACCCTGTGCAGCCCCCTGCATGGCTGAGAGGTCCTCGGGGAATGGCCCAGTGGGTGGAGAGAGCTGCGTTTGCTCCAAAGGCCGGGCAGGTGGCAGGGAGTGGGGGACTGGAGGTTAGAAGCCAGCAGGTGGAAAGGAGGGGTGTTTGGGGGAGTATTTCACCAGACTATGCAAGGTGCAGACTGCACCGTGAGGTTGGGATGGGTCAGGAGAGAGGAGAGGTCATGGCTGTGTCCAGGAAGTGGGCAGCCGGCCCAGGGAGCTGCCCAGGGCCTGACTACCCCCATGCACCCCCCAGGGGCCATGCTGGGCCTCTGTGCCTCTGTGCAGCCACTGCTCCGAACGCTGGGGCCCACCGTCGGCGGCTTCCTGTACCGCAGCTTTGGCGTCCCTATCTTCGGCCACGTGCAAGTTGCTATCAATGTCCTTGTCCTTCTGGTCCTCTGGAGGAAACCTATGCCCCAGAGGAAGGACAAAGTCCGGTGACTGCTGCCCAGACACAGACTGGCAATAAACTCCTACTAAATCCCTCCAACTTCTTCCGGTCTGGTTTCTGCAGGCTGTCGCATGGTCTGCCTGTGTCCTTCAGTGAGGGATGGGGCCTCGGGGCTGGAGGGCTTCCTAGAGGAGGGGGCCTACAGCTGGGCAAAGCTCTGGGAAGGACAGAATCACCCAAATTGGCTCACCGTTATTAGTACAGTCCGCCCACAAAGGAGTTCCCCTGCTGCCACACACACAGCTCTTGCTCACACCCGGAGCAATGGGGAGCTCACTGCCCAACCCCCGCCCACAGTGTGACTGCCCAAAAGCAGAAACAGGTTTCTTTAAAAGATCAGGGAACCTGGCTGGGCGCAGTGGCTCACGCCTGTAATCCTAGCACTTTGGGAGGCCGAGGCAGGCGGATCATGAGGTCAAGAGATGGAAACCATCCTGGCCAACATGGTGAAATTCTTGCTTTACTAAAAATATTTTTTAAAAAATTAGCTGGGTGAGGTGGTGCACGCCTATAGTCCCAGCTACTCGGGAAGCTGAGGCAGGAGAATCGCTTGAACCCAGGAGGCAGAGGTTGCAGTGAGCTGAGATCCCACCATTGCATTCCAGCCTGGCAGCAGAGCAAGACTTTGTCTCAAAAAAAAAAAAAAAAAAAAAAAAAAAGGTCAGGGAACTGAGGCGTTCCTAGATGGCAGGAAAAATGCCCTCACTCTGCTGAACAGCCCAGCGCACAAACCCAAACCCTGTTCCCAGAACTGCACCAGGGAGGCTGCCAGCCACCCGAACCCCAGAACTGCACCAGACACCGCCAGCCTCCCGAACCCCAGAACTGCACCAGACACCGCCAGCCACCCGAACCCCAGAACTGCACCAGACACCGCCAGCCTCCCGAACCCCAGAACTGCACCACACACTGCCAGCCTCCCGAACCCCAGAACTCCTCTGGTGTCCCCTTCTCTCAGCCTCTTTGACCTATAGCTCGATGGCCCCCAACATTTTCTGCACCAGGGACCAGTTTCATGGAAGACAGTTTTTCCACAGATGTGGCTGGGCAAGATGAAACTGTTTCGCCCCAGATCATCAGGTTTTAGGTTCTCACGGGGAGTGCTCAACCTAGATCCCTCTTGTGCACCGTTCCCAACAGGGTTCTCGCTCCTGTGAGAATCTAATGCTGCCGCTGATCTGGCGGGAGGTAGAATTCAGGTGGTCGCTTGCCCCGCTGCTCACCTCCTGCTGTGTGGCCCGGCTACGGACCAGTACCCATCCGTGGCCCAGGAATTGGGGGCCCCTTCTATAGCTGATTTGCTGGCCAGGCCATGCACTGTTGCCTTCCAGCCTCCTGACCACAGCACTTCCCGACCCCTCACCCCCACCCGCTGGCCCTGGGTTCTGGAGAGAAGGAGAACTGGGCATGAGAAGGCCAGCCCAGCCGCTGTGGCCGGTTGACCCATCTGGAGAGAACAGGCTTTCCACAGCCTCATCGAGGGTCTGCAGCTGCCCCCGAGACCACGAAGGCTGCCCCTTCTCTCCTCGGGCTGCTTTTAAAAGAAGCTGTTAAAACATGGACTCCCCAAACCTTAGAATTCCACTGTTCTCAGAATTTGAGGAATTCCAAAATTCCTCAAACAAGAAGTGGCCTCAGTGAGCCAAGGGCCATCAACCCTCTTCGCCTAAAGCTCAGGCCAGATCATGCCTATGCTTGAAGATCCCAGGGGCAAGGGCTCTCCTCGTGACCTTGGATATCCATCCAGGTGAGGCTCTGGTGGGGCAGCCAGGAGGCCCAGGAGCCCAGCCAGGCAGCGTCCCCTGCTGCTCTTTTCTGCTTTTTGCAGGATCCCCTCTCCCATTTGCACAGGGGCTTCACAAATTGTGTTCGCGAGAAAATTCCTTGCAGGAAATAGTTTCTTCTGGACCTAGCACCAACACTCCTACAGGCCATGCAGCGAAGGGCTAGCACCCTCCCCGCCCTGACCCCGGACCAGCTAGGAGGCTTCGTTGGCCCCCTAGCAACAGAGATTAGGGCCCAATTCTGGTACTTCTCTGCCTCCCCTACTGGCATCCCTCCAACCACGACGGTTCCAGAAATGAAGGCCCCATTGTGGGGCGAGGAGTCATGCCTATACTACCCTTATCACCTCCTCAGCTTGTTCATCACCAGGAGCCCTTCTGGGTGGGGGACACACTTCCCAAGCCCTAACTGTCTCAGACCATCCCTGTCTTTCGGGGAGCACTGCCAGACCAGAGGGCAGAAAGCCGTGGTCAGCTATCTCAGAAAGAGGGGCAGGGGTTTGCTGCACTCAGGCCTCTCCACCCTAATGTCCTGGGCCAGCACCCGGACGTGCAGGGACCTCTGCCTCCTGCCCCACCATCGGAGACAGCCCAGAACTCTCTCCTATTCCCCCAAAAGCAAAGGCGACCCTGCCGGCCCCACACTGCGGGCACTGGCCAGGAGCGACTGGCAGCAGGCAACCGGAGGGCTGAGCACTTCCCTCTGGTCTGGCTGCGCGGGTGGTATGTGGGCAGGAAGGGCTGCTGGGGAACGTCCCCCCACCACAGGCAGCAGCAGCTCGGACCCAGGGCCGTTGTCCTCCCCAGGCTCAATTCCTCAGGACACACCAAGGAGCAGAAGGTAGCCAGGGTCAAGCCCCAGGGCACTTCCTGGCCTCTGGGGAGGATACTTGGAAAAGAGGGTGTGGACCAGGCCCAGCAGATGACACGATTCATTTATTCATTCAAAGCCAGTTCCCAGCGCCTTTCACGCCAGCCCCGCAGGACTGGATGAGGGTGTCCTGCCCACCCATTCCTGGGCCTCCACCCTCCCAGCAGGAACCTCACTGAGCCACAGCCGAATGGTAGAAAAGCAAACTGGCCAAGTGATTTATTTGCAATGGGCACAGTGATGCAAAAACAAGATATTAAGACTATAAAATATGTGACTACAAAGAACCAGCGAAATAAATACATAGATATTAGATAGTCCAATAACTTAAGGCGCCCGTGCAACGGAGCAAGGATCCGCGAGCACGGGAAGTTCTGCTGCTGCTGCGGGGCTGGAGAGCGCCGGCCACGTCCTAGCCTCGGTCCGACTCGTCCAGCGTACGGCCCTGTGGGGAAAGGACTGGGTCAGGGAGCTGTGCCAGGGCCGGTCGGGGTCCAGCCTGAGGGGCCCCAAGACCCTGACGCGAGGGGGCCAGCGCGATTGCGGGGCGCCGGGTCCCCCAAGGAGATGCAGCTCCCCCGCCCCCCGCCCCCCGCCCCGCCGTCTGACGTTGAAGTGGTTTTTCCCAAAGGCCCCCGTCCGGGCTGTTAGGGCGCGGGGCTCGCCGGGGCGCGGGCAGGCACTCACAGCGGCGGGCTCATAGCGTGCGGGGCTTGGGTTGCGGGGATGGCCCGGAGGGCTCGGAGGCTGCGGCGGCCACGGCGGCCTCGGCGGCCTCGGCGGGTGCGGCGAGCGCGGCGGGTGCGGTGCGTTCCTGGCGGCTGCGAAAGTCCTGCAGGGCGCGGCGGTTCTGGAAATCGATGAGCGCCAGCGCGATGGCCGCGTTCCAGCAGCTCTCGCCCGCGCAGCGGAAGTCGATCTCCTTGTGGTCGGTGGTGACGATGGTGAAGTACACGTACTTGCCGGTGCGCTCCACGCAGTCCACCTTGAGGATGGAGTGGAAGCGCAGCTCCTTGGGGCGCGCGCGGGGGCTGGCGGGGAACAGGCTCAGGCGGTCGGAGGTGAGCACGCCGCGCTTCTTCTTCCATAACTGGAAGAGGCTGTCGCTGCGCTTCTCCAGCTCGCCCTCGCGTAGCACCTCGTCGGGGGACTTCATGTCGTACCGGGCGTGGGACTGGGAGCGGCAATGCGAGAGGCAACTTGGGAGGTGGCGGCGCCGGATCTGCTCCTCGTGGCCCCGGCGCGGCCTTTATAGCTGCCCCTCCCCGCCCCGCCCAGCCCCGGCCCTCGGGCCACCCCGCCCGCCCGCGCCCCGCGCGCCCCAGGCCATACCCTCCCCAAGCCCAGCCGTCCGGACCTGCACGTCCGCGCTCTGGTCGGTCCCCGGCCGTCCCCTCCCATCTCAGAAGCCCGCGCTCCTGTTGCCCCCAATGCCCCAGCTGTCCAGCCCCGTGGGGTGACTCGAGGTCCCGCCCTGCCCGGGCGCTCGCCCGCACCGTCTCTCAGGCCGGCCCGGCGGAAGAATGCGCTGCAACCAGCCCTACCCGCGGTGACTCACGCCAGGGAGCCCCGGGAAGCACCCCCGGGCCCGGGTCTGGCCCACCGTGGGGAGACAGCGGGGTCCAGACCTTCACCCTCCAGGCGCCCCAAGTCCAGCCCTGCCGCTCTCGGGCTCCCGGGGCAGAAGGAGGGTCGAGGCCGCCTTACTTACTCCCGAGCGCTGGCCGTTCCGTCCTCTTCGGGGGCCCTTCCCAGGGGGAACAGTCACCTTTGCTGGATTAGGGAACACGTGGAAAGGGCTAGAACAGCAACCCATAGAGCTCAGTCAATGGGAGGGGAAGAGGAAGCCCGCTCTCCTCCCTGCGCCCTCGTAGTGTCCCGAACGGGGGGACGGACTGCTCCCACCGCGCCCCCACGACCCGGACCGGAGAGAGGTCCCGGGAGCCGAGGGGTCCGGGCTGGGCCGCGACGCCCGCTCTCTGGGATCGGCCTGGGGGCGAGGGTCGGCGGGGGCGGCTGAGTCATCGCTTTCCAGCTGGGCAGACGGGCGGTTTTATTTACCCTCTTCCTTTAAAGGGTTTAATAGACAGGAAGCGAAAGCCGGCTCTTCCTGGGTTCCCAGGGGTGGGGGTGAAGCCGGCCGAGAGGACCCCGGGGACCCCGGCTGCTCCAGGTCTCCTAACTTCCCGCGCCCCTGCCCCCCAGCTGCGCCCTGGGGTGGTTACAGCAGGAAGTACCACCTCTGGCGTCGGAATTGGCCTCAATGGCGGAGCTCACGCAAAATGAAAACGAGAGTCCCCTGATTCAAAGTGTATTTAAAATGTCAAGACAGTGGCAGCAGAGCGTAAAACCCAGACCTGAGACCAGCCCCGCCTCCGCCTGCCCTTCAGGGTCACTGTAAGGGATAAACAGGCGGCTGGCTCAGAGGAGCGCCCCGGACCAGGTTCTGTGAATGGCATGCAGGTGGCAGCTGCCCGGTGGTCCTACCTGTGTGGCCAGAGAACATGGCAGTGAGCAGGGGCCGTGATGTGGAGGGGCGGTGCCAGCAGAGGGCAGGGTTGGGCTGTGCCGCGGTTCTGGCCTGGGAGTGAGACACCTGCCTGGGCCGGCAGGTCAACACTGCCCCCTACCTGACACCTGTCCTTGCAGCAGGGCTGGGATCCTGTGGGGTGAGGGACCTGACACCTGTCCCTGCAGCAGGGCTGGGATCCTGTGGGGTGAGGTACCTGACACCTGTCCTTGCAGCAGGGCTGGGATCCTGTGGGGTGAGGGAGCAGCAGGTAGGGTGGGCGGGTGAGGGGAGATCAGCCTTTGGCGAGGAGAAGGGATTCCAGCATTGGCCCAGAGAGGCTGCAGGAAGGATGCGGACTCTGGTGTCCCTTCTTTTGCTGCTAGAGAGCCCTGGGCTGCCGAGCAGTGGGGCCTGGGCAAGAGGCACCTCTGGGCAATGGGAGACCAGGAGAAGTGGCTGGGGGCAGAGCGCTCTGTCACTGCCCGAGTCCACAGGTGCCTGGAACACCCCCAGGCCCACCAGCCTGCCCACCCCATTGAGGGGCCAGCCATCGGAACATCGGCTCCAGGCAAATCCCCCAACACTCGGCGTTGCTTAAGCATCTACTGCGTGCCTGCAGGCCTGGCTGGTGCTGGGACCCCAGAGGAGGGGAGAGGAATCCCTGTAACCCCCAGGGGCACAGCAGGTACATGAGGGTGGGGATGGGGGACACGGGTACTGGGGGCCAGGAGGACAGCTTGGAGGACTCTGTGGGGAGGGCGTGCCCTTGAAGATTCCAAGGAGACCTTGAAGGGCCAGTGGTGCCTGTATGCCACCACTGTGTCCAGCCTCCACCTAACCCGGAGAACGCCCCAAAGTGGGCATTCCAGCCCCCATTCCACAGGAGAGGAAACTGGCTCAGGATGGAGAGGGCCTTGGGGAATACACAGAGGACAGGCAGGAGCAGATAAGAGGCTGGGAGAAATGAGGGGAGGAACAGGGTTTGGACACCAGGTGAGGCCAGGTGAGGTGTGCTCCCCCAGCCCCGCCCAGCTCCTCTCTTTGCCTGTACCCCAGTGGCCCTCTCAAGGGAGGCTGGGAAACTCAGTCCCCTGGGGGCAGGACTTGTAACCCAGGGGTGGTGCTCTGACAGGTGGGGCAGGAGCTGGGGGGCCAGGGAGCAGGGTATGCAGCTGAGATTCAGAGGCCCTGCCCTCCTAGCCTCCCTAGGGGGTTTCCTGCCCATTCAGCCCCTCTCTATTCCTCTCATGGACAATGTGAAGACCTGGGGGGTATGGAGGTAGATGGCCCTTTGGGGGCTGCTGGAAATCGGATCTGAGCCCTGGAGGCCAGGCCTCCCCAGGCAGCTTCTCTGTCCACAGTCCCGGCCCCAGGGGCTCAGTCATAGTGGCCCTGGCCTCCCTAGCAGCGGCTAGACACCCTGGGCCCCTGCTTGGCAGAACCAGCCTGAACCTAGTTGCAAATGTGGGGCCTGGAGGGAGCCGACTCCCAAGCCTGACCAGCCCTGGACCAGCAGGTGACTTCAGGAGCCCCCAGGGTGTCTTTATGGACATGGGCAAAAATAAAGCATGGCCTTAGGAGGTGAGAGGGGCTTGAAGGACACCATGCCCACTTGGCAGGTACTTGCACGCAGGCGCTGCCCATCCTCTCCGCATCCACCCAAGGGGCTTTCCCGCCACCACCACACTGCCCTCTGCCCCTCTGACCCCCCACCCTCTGCCAGCACCCCTCAGCCTCCCTTTTCCTGCGGCCTGAGTCTCACCTGGTCCCACCTGGGGCTGAGCGGTGCCCCCAGGAGGAGCACTGGCCCTATGCTGCAGATGCAGAAAGGGTGGCTCCGAGAGGTGCAGCGACTTGTCAAGGTCACATTTACAAGGAAGGACCTATGCCCATTCCCCAGAGCAGGCCTGCCTGAGGGTCTCCTCTGGAGGATGAGGACTGTGGATACTCACTTCCTGGGATGTGGGGGAGGGATGTTGAGGCAGAAGAGTGCTGACATAGGGACCCCACACGAGGGTCTTTTGAGGAATGCCCCCTCCTAGAGCCATTTGATAGCCAAGAGCCTGGGAGCTTTTCCAGCACGGCACAGAGATTGGAACCCGGTGTGGATTCGGCTGCACCCCATGGGACCTGCTTTTACAAGGGTTCCGGGCCACTCACATGTTGGAGGCGGAGGAACCACCGGCCCGAGAGATGCCAAGGTCAGACAATGGCAGGACAGTCTGTGTGGGACTGCCCTGCGCTAGTTCTGTGCAGTCATTCTCCCTGTTGAGACTGCTTTCTTGGGTTTGCAGGGAATGTGGGGTGGGGGTTTCAGAGAGGTGGTGACTAACCCAGGTTACACAGCGGCCAGTGGGGCCACATCCACAGCTTCCCCGATTCTGTGGCCAGGGGCAGGAAATAGCCCTGATGTTCCGTGACTGCTTCTCAGGATGGGGAGGGGGCTCTGCCTCGAGTTGGTGGTGTCAGGCAGAGCCTGTCCAAACCAGGTTTACTAATATTTATCTGAGGGGTCACATCCAGGATTCATGCGGAGCCTGAGCCAAGGGTCCCCACCCCCGGGCAGGCATTGTACAGTCTGGGTGCCCAAACATCTGACCTGGGACACTAGCCGCCCAGTCCAGCTGCCTGGATCCTTGGCACCGGAGCCCAGCTGTGTGAGGTTGTCAGCAGCTGGGGCAGGATGCGGGCACCTCTCCGAAACTCCCTGTGTGAGGTCACTTCCTTATGGTGACGAGGCCGGGCCCTCCAGGCACTTGCCCAACGAGCCTGGCCATCCTGCCAGCCTGTGAGGAAGCTGCATGTCATAGAGCTGCGTGTCATAGGGCCCGGCCCAGTGCCTAGGGCTTGACACCACCCTCTTGTGGGAGGGGTTGCTGAGGGACAGCCCTGAAAAAAGGCCCTCTGCTCCTCAGTCAGGAAGGCCCACCCCTAGCTCCTCTCACCTCCTCCAGGAAGCCTTCTCAGATTGCCAGGCCTGCCTCCTGCCAACCACATACTGCTAGGCTCTGGGTCTCCAAGCCTCCGCCCACCTGAGCCTGGGGAGGCTGGGGGAAGACCCAAGCTGCCTGGAGTTGCAGCACCTGAGCAGTGCACTTTTGCCACCTCACTGGTGCCACCTCACCTGAGCCCGTGGCCCATGTGCCAGGGCCTGTGACTCAGGCCCGCCCTCGATCTGTCTCCTCCCAGCCGCAGCCTGAGGAAAGTGAGAAGCACCGTGACAGGACCCACCTGGTTTTCAGACACTCGCAGTCAGCCTGACCTTGGCCTCTGAGGGCTGTGTTCTCTTGCTGTGTCTCTTCCTGAGCTCTTCCACTGGAGCCTGACAGGCAGGTTCTACCTCACAAGGTGTTGGGGATTGAATGAGATACCAGAAACACCTTTCTCCTTGGCCCCTGATGAGCTCCTGTTTATCCCCGAGTACCCTACTCAGAAGCTATTATCAGTTCCTTAAATGCAGTGATAATGTTTTATTCTCTGGGACCCTCAGGGACCAGCCCAGGCACTCAGGAAATTATTCTGAAAACTGGTGGCTAAAAAAGCATCCTGAGGCCAGGCTCGGTGGCTCATGCCTATGATCCCAGCAAGTTGGGAGGCCGAGGTGAGCAGATTGCTTGAGCCGAGGAGTTTGAGACCAGCCTGGACAACATAGCAAGACCCCCCATCTCTACAAAAAAATAAAAATAAAAATTAGCCAGGCATGGTGGCGTGTGCACTATAGCCCCAACTACTTGGGAGGCTGAGGTGGGAGGATCACTTCAGCCTGGGAGGCCGAGGCTGCAGCCAGCCGTGATCACTCCACTGCACTGCAGCCTGAGTGACAGAGTGAGACCCTGTCTCAAAAAATAAAGGCATCCATGTCATTGTCCAAAAGACCCCCTCTGCACTGACTACCGAACGTGCAGACTGTTGGCTTGTGTATGTGACCAGACAGCCCCCGGCTGCCTCGGGTGAGACTGAGCATGCCAAGATGAGGGGGCCCTGTGGGGCAGAGTGTGGCCTCCGTCAGGCTCCATTAGGCTGGTGTCGCCTCCACAGGGCTACTTGTGGGTGGTTGTGGAGCCCCCAGAGGTTGGGAGATGGGTCCAGGACGTGGGGAGCTCGGGGGGAAGGGCCCTCCCAGCAGTCACTCACAGATGGAAAAGAAGAGCAGCCGACATGACTGCCCTGGGCCTGGCTTGTGGGGATGTCTCCAGAAGCCTGAAGGAGTGAACCAACGAACAAAGGAACAAACAAAATACAGGAAGGGAGAGAGGGAGGACTGAGGTGGCCCCATGCCCTGCACAGGGCTCAGATTGCAGAATCGCTGGGGCAGTCTTCTCACGGCACAGATGCTCACCCTCCTGGCCTAAGCTTCTCATTCAGCGGGTCTGGGGGAGCCCTGGCAGGTGTATTGTCATTATTTCCAACATTAAAAAATTACCAAAGATAGGCCAGGCGCTGTGACTTGTGCCAGTAATCCAGTGCTTTGGGAGGACCAGGAGGAAGGATTACTTGAAGGAGGAGTTCAAGACCAGCCTGGGCAAGACAGCAAGACTCCATCTCTTTAAAAAAAAAAAAAAAAAAAAAACCTACCAAAAATAGTAACAAATTGTTGATACAAAAAGTAAAAAAGAGGCTCGAATTATTTCAGAATTGATGCTGGGCATGGTAGCTCATGCCTGTAATCCCAGCACTTTGGGAGGCCAAGGCAGGCAGATCACTTGCAGTCAGGAGTTCAAGACCAGCCTGGCCAACATGGTGAAACCCCATCTCTACTAAAAATGCAAACAACAACAACAAAATAATAATAATAATATTAATAATAATTAGCCGGACATGGTGGTACACACCTGTAATCCCAGCTACTCGGCAGGCTGAGGCAGGAGAATTTCTTGAACCTGGGAGGCGGAGGTTGCAGTGACCTGAGATTGTGCCATTGCACTCCAGCCTGGGCAACAGAGCGAGAAAAAACAAAAAAATAAAAATAAAAACAAAATCGAGTGTTCATCTCTCATGTCTCCCCACCTAGGGCAACTCTCATCCCTTTTTGTTTGTTTGTTTGTTTGAGATGGGGTCTTGCTCTGTTGCCCAGACTGGAGTGCAGTAGCATGATCTTGGCTCACTGCAACCTCCACCTCCCAGGCTCAAGCAATCCTCTCGCCTCAGCCTCCTGAGTAGCTGGGACCACAGGTATGTACCTCCATGCCCGGCTAACTTTTTTGTATTTTTGTACAGACAGGGTTTCACCGTGTTTCCCAGGCTGGTCCTGAACTCCTGAGCTCAAGCAATCCACCCATCTCAGCCTCCCAAAGTGCTGAGATTACACGCATGAGCCACTGAGCCTGGCCTTTTTGTTTTATTATTTATTATTATTATTCTTATTATAAATTTTTGAGACAGGGTCTTACTCTGTGGCCCAGGCTGGAGTGCAGTGGCACAATAATGGCCCACTGCAACCTCGACCTCCTAAGGTTGTGATCCTCCCACTTCAGCGTCCTGAGTAGCTGGGACTACAAGGCACATGCCACCACGCCTGGCTAATTTGTGTATTTTTTGTAGAGATGCGATCTCACTATGTTGCCCAAGCTGGTCTTGAACTCCTGGGCTCAAGCAATCCGCCTGTCTCATCCTCCCAAAGTATTGGAATTACAGGTGTGAGCCACTGTGCCTGGCCTCATCCTTTTTAAAAAAGCATTTACATTATTTTAACAATTGCTTTTTGTTTGTTTGTTTTTGAGATGGAGTCCCACTCTGTCATCCAGGCTGGAGTGCAGTGGCACGATCTTGGCTCCCTGCAACCTCCACCTCCTGGGTTCAAGTGATTCTCCTGCCTCAGCCCCCTGAGTAGCTGGGACTACAGGCGTGTGGCACCATGCCCGGCTAATTTTTTTTGTATTTTTAGTAGAGATGGGGTTTCACCATGTTGATCAGGCTGGTCTTGAACTCCTGACCTCAGGTGATCCACTCACCTTCCTCCCAAAGTGGTGGGATTACAGGAGTGAGCCACAGTGCCCAGCCTCCTTTCACAATTAAATATAGGATTGCTCTGTGATCCCACAATTCCACTCTTCTCATTCACATGCTCACAATAACTAAAAGTAGAGTCTCTCTGAGAGGTCCATGCACACCCATATTCCCAGCAGCATGCCAAAAGGTAGAAGCCACCAAGTGTCCACTGACAATGGGCACACACAATGTGGTCCACCCACACACTGCAATAGTCACAGCCTTAAAATGGAAGGGAATTCTGGCCAGGCGTGTGACTCACACCTGTAATCCCAGCACTTTGGGAGGCCAAGGCAAGTGGATCACCTGAAAAATTAGCTGGGCGTGGTGGTGCATGCCTGTAATCCCAGCTACTCAGGAGGCTGAGGCAGGAGAATCACTTGAACCCAGGAGGTGGAGGTTGCGGTGAGTCAAGATTGTGCCATTGCACACCAGCCTGGGCAACAAGAGTGAAACTCCATCTCAAAAATAAAAATTAAAATTAAATTTTTTTAAAAAATGGAAGGGAATTCTAACACAAGCTACAACATGGATGGACTCTGAGGACACTGTGCTGAGTGAAGTAAGCCAGACACAAAAGGACAAGTACTGAATGATTCCACATGTACGAGGTCCCAGGAGTCATCAGATTCTGAGACAGAAGGCAGGAGGGCAGGTGCCAGGGGCTGGAGAGGACAATGGGGAGTGTTTAATGGGGACACAGTTTCCATTTGGAGAGATGAGAAATTGTGGAGGCGGATGCTGATGGCAGCTGCACAACAGTGTGAATATGCTTGGTGTGAATATGCTCAGTGTGAGTATGCTTAGTACAAATATGCTCAGTGTGAATGTGCTCCATGTGAATATGCCTGGTGTGAATATGGTTGGTGTGAATATGCTCGGTGTGAATATGTTCAGTGTGAATACTCTTAGTGTGAATTTGCTCAGTGTGAATATGCCTAAGCATAAGCACACTGAACTGTGCACTTTAAAAATGGTTAAGAATGTAACTTGTGATGTGCCTTTTACTAGTTTTAAAAATGCATTTACATATGAATATCCATGCATGTGGGGGTATGAGGTTGTGTCTCTTCCTGTGTCTGGGCCATTTCCCAGGAACCCCCCACCCCAGCCCTCATCCTCTGGAATCCTCCATGTCTCAGCCACCCCTTGTGATGGATGGGCTTGGGCTAGGTCCCCTGTTGCTGTCATCATACACGGCACTGCCTTCCTGGACACCAGACGTGGCACTGCTGTGCTAGTGGGGCCTTCAGATGTGTGGTAACTGCCAAGATGGCCCACCAGTGGGGCTGTTCCTATTCACCCTCTCCCCTGAAGGCTGCAATGCCAATCTCCCCATGGCCAGGCCAATGGTGGGCACTCTGTACTTAAAAAAAAATAAAATAAAAGGGTCAATCTGGGCTGGGGGCAATGAGTCACGCCTGTAATCCAGCACTTTGGGAGGCCAAGGCGAGTGGATTACTTGAGTTCAGGAATTTGAGACCATTCTGGCCCAGATGGTGAAACCCTGTCTCTACTAAGAATAGAAAAAATTAGCCTAGTGCAGTGGCATGCACCTGTAATCCCAGCTACTCAGGAGGCTGAGGCAGGAGAATTGCTTCACCCTGGGAGTCGGAGGTTGCAGCGAGCTGAGAAAGTGCCACTGCACTCCAGCCTGGGCCATAGAGTGAGACCCTGTCTCAAAAAAACAAACAAAAAACCAAACCAAAACAAAGACAAACAAAAACCCTAAAAACAATCTGGTGGTCAAAAACTGAGGTCTTGTCTTCCCACACATTTCTCTATTCTTGGGGTGGGGGCAGCCATCTCTCTGAGTGTCCGTGGCCTTTGGCGCAGCTGTCTGTTCCCCTTTTCATGTGCTTTGGTCTGTTTGAAAGGCCCCTTTCATGGGCTGAATGGTGGCCCCCAATAAGACGTATCCATGTTCTACTCCCCAAAACCCATGAATGTGACCTTTGATGGCAAAAGGGTGAATATGACCTTAGTGGCTAGAGTGTGATAGAGGCAAGGCCCCTGAGAGCAGGAGCCTCCCCTGGACTACCCAGGTGGGCCTCACGAGGGAGAACTGCCGAGAAGCAGGCATAAGGGGAGGAGGCCACGTGAGACAGAGGCAGAGATCAGAGGGAAGTGGCTGCAAGCCAAGGAACGCCTGGAGCCCCCAGATGACGAGGAAGGGTCCCCATGTAAGGTTTGGTGTTCTGGTCCTTGGGGAGGGCAGCACCTGCTGAAAAGGGGCAGGTTGAGACCCAGGGATCGCCTCAGGCCCTCACTGGCGGCCCCCAGGCGGGGGGCAGCAGACCCTAGCAACTCCGACCAGCGCCTGTGCCTGAAGTCCCATCTCCAGGCGCTCCCTCTTGTCCTCCTGACCCTGTACCCACCTTGCTCGGTGAGGCACTGTCCTTCCTCCTCCAACTAGCTACCAGCCAGGCAGGCACTGGTGAGGGCTGGTGTGGGCAGCCCTGCCATGCCCAGGGTCTGGGTTCTGAGGAGGTGAGACTTCTCCCCATGTCCCAGATACAGAAATTGAGACCTAGGGAGATTTGGAAACTTGGTGGACACCACAGACCTCTTGAGGAGCCCGACAAGGGTGACCTGTGGGTCTGCCCTGAGTGGGGTCCTGGACACAGCTGTAGCTGCCCCGTTTCTCCTGGGCTGGGCTGGGCCAGGCTGTTGGGTTGTCATGGTAAGTAACATCCGGCTGCCGCCTTCGGAGAGCCATGAGTCAGCATAGCCAGGATGGGCCAGTGATTGGTACCTTGGGGACAGCCTGGCAGGCGGGGCCTCCCTCAGGCACACCAAGGTGACCTGGCCTCAGCAGGAGGCATCCAGGCCTCACCCTGCAAGAGCTGGGCCCTGGCTTCTGTCCTGAGCCTCGGGTCTGTCTCTTAAATTGGGAAGGTCCCAGGCGCATGAGGTGCCTGGAAACCCTCACCAAATTCAGAGCATCAGAAATTCAACCAGGGCCAGCCTCAGGAGGCGTCCTTCCAGGAGGCCCTGCTGTTGGGGGAGAACTGCTTGCCAGTGTCTCCTGGTGGGTGCGGCCGAAACAGCTGGGCCTGGGGTCCCCTGGGCCCCCCACTCCACATGAAGCTGCTCCCTGGGGCAGGTTGGGGAGGAGGTGCCTGCTCCAGCAGAAGGAACCTGGGAAGGCACCTGTTCTGAGGGCTTTGGGGCAGAGGCCGAAGTCCATGCCAGGCTGTGGCCAGGTCGGGCTGGCTGGCGGGGAGCCACAGGCTTCTGCACACAGCAACCCCTTCCGCAGGCCCAGGGCTCCCTCAGGGCACTGCAGCTGTGGTTGGCTGAGTCTGGGATGGTCACTTCTCCCACCGCTGCCCCCGGCTGTTCCTCTGTTGCTCCCTGGTTGCCCAGCCCTGAGTCCTGACTCAGAGCCAGGCAAGCCAAGGACCCAGCAGGGGCAGGTCAGAGGTCAGTAATATCAAGGTGTGCCTGGATGAGCCAGGCAGAGGCCAGGGGCTCCACCTACTCACCCTGGCTGCCTCCCACCTTAGGGGCAAGCTTGGATCCTGGCAGCCCAGGCTGACTCAGCCTGTCCAGTGATGGGGTTGGGGGCAGCCTGGGGCATTTCGAGAGAGGGACAACATGGGTGGGGTGGCAGGAAGCCCTGGACCTGGGACTTGGGGAAGGGGGCTCTGGCCCCATGGGTGGCCCCTTGGGGATGGAGAGGTTTGCTGGGCAGCAGGACAGGAGCAGGGTGGGATGTCGGCTTGGTCCCAGCTCCACATAAACGGGGGCCATGAGCCTAGAGAGCAGACTGGCCAGGTAGGGCGACCTGGGGGACACACCACCCGCAGACCCACATGCCAGGCAGCTGTGGAAGAGGGTCCCAGGTGACCCTGACGGGGAAAGCAGCAGCCGTCAGGTTCTGGGGTCACAGCTCCTGACTCAAGGGAAAAAGCAGAATTTTAAGTGGAATCACCCTGTTTTGGGGACTTTTGAAAACTGAGCTTCAGGCTGGGCGTGGTGGTTCACATCTGTAATCCCAGCAATTTGGGAGGCCAAGTGGGTGGTTCACCCAAGGTCAGGAGTTCAAGACCAGCCTGGCCAACATAGTGAAACCTCATCTCTACTAAAAATACAAAAACTAGCCAGGCATGGTGGTGCATGCCTGTAATCCCAGCTACTTGGGAGGCTGAGGCAGGAGAATCGCTTGAACCCGGGAGGTGGAGATTGCAGTGAGCTGAAATCATGCCACTGTACTCACACTCCAGCCTGGGCAAGGGCGAGTCTCCGTCTCAAAAAAAAAAAAAAAAAAAAAGCTGAGCTTCCTTGAGGACTAACTTACATAACAACCTAATATACCCACTTTTGAGGTAACTCAAAAATTCTGACAGCAGTATATACCTGTGTAATCACTTCCATCCCTCCAAAGGGTTCCTTGGTCAATCCCCCCGCCCCAGATCCCTCCCAGGCAGTCACCGGCACTGTAGCTTTGCAGGCTCTAGAACCAGACATAACTGGGGCCCTCCAGAGGCCGTCTTCCGTGCCTGCCTCCTTGCTGTGTGGGTTCTTTCGCTCCTTGCCCAGAAGCACCCGTGTGATGGCAGTCGACAGAAGTGTCTCAGTCACCTGTGCAGGGGGGTGCCCCAGGCCTCACCTCCCATCTCCTGGGCTGCTCCCCAAACTCCTGCCCTGACCTCAGCGCCACTCATTTTGAGTCTCAGTTCCCGCACAGGGTGAACAGCCACAGGGAGGGCAGGGGCTGGGGTGGGGCTGGACGGTCAATGTCTGCCTCCCCAGCAGGGGGCTCAGCAGGGACAAAGGAGGGGCCCGGCTAGCAGAGCTGAGGTTCTATGGCGGCACCCCCTGGCCCCCAGGACCAGAAGGGAAGCAGCCACCCTTCACCCAGGCCAGGCCGGGTGGCCACCACAAGCCCCCACTTCCCAGCTGCCTTCCAGATGGTGGCTCTGGGCAAACCTCTCAACCACTCAGCAACTTTCTGTGACCACTCGTGGCTGAGGCCCCGGAGCTGACAATGGCCTGGGCCTGGGATGGCTCCTGGGCTCCTTGGCCACTGGAGAATGACCTTCCCTTTCCTGAGACCCTGGGGAGCAGGCAGGACAGCAGCCATGCAGGGGTGACAGAGGCCAGGTGCTGAGGTCTTGGGGGAAACCAGGCACCTGCACCCTCAGGCCTCCACAGCTCCCCGGGCTTCATGTTGAGGTCCTGCACCCAGATGATGTCCTTGGAACTGGGCAGCATCCACGAACCATGCACTCCCAAGGGTCAGACTCAGTGGGGGACACAAGAACGCAGCTCTGTGAAGGATGCACGGCAGGTGGGTGCAGGGTCCTCACACACTTCTTACTCAAAAGGGAAAATCCAGATACCCCCATCCCCAGAAACCACAATATTAACATCCCCCTTTTCCCCACTTGTGCAAATCTGATCTAAAACCACCCAGCTAGGTAGTGAGGGGCACTCCACAAGCCTATAGAGCCCTTCCTAAAAGGCACGTTGGGCAACCAGTGGACAGGACAGTGTGCAGGGCTCTCATCTCCCCAGCTGATGGGGGGTCACTGCAAAATGGCACCTGCCCTTTGGATTATGGGGTCTGACCCTGGGCAGACCAAGGCAGGCCAGGGTGCTGCTCACCCATGGGGCCACCCTGAGGCTGGGGAGCCTGAGACCAAGCTCCCCCAGGTACTTCACAGGATGGGGACGGAGGAACGGGTGCAGGAAGCACAGACATCAGGCTCCACAGCCCTTGGGGGTATGCTGGAAGGACATTCACTTCCCAGCCTGCACCTCCCCTTCCTGCTGCTCCCAGGGAGAAGGCAGCCCATGGGTGAGCTGGAGGCGGCAGGGCAGGGCCAGCCATGTGGGGAGCAATGAGCCAGCTCCATGGCTGCCTTCTCATGACGGAGTTTCATTCACCAGTCAGCGCTGCCAAGGCTGGGATTCCCACAGTCAGGTCAAGAAGCGCCAGTGCGGCAGGTGTTTGAGTGGAGTGCCTCCTCACTGTGGATGGAAGACACACCGGGAAGAGCTTCAGAGAGCAGACAGACCTAATATGGGCTTTATCAGGAAGTTCTCCTCTTGGAGCCTTCTGGATCGACAAGGCACAGTCCCACTAACTCTGAGAAATGATCCCCTCCTGGGGGAGGGAACGGTCTTCCCCTGGGCCCACAGTGAAGCTGCCTACATACAGCAGTGACTAAGGTGTAGTGGGGGCGGCTACAGCAGCCTCTGCCTCAAACTGAGCTTTCAAGGCCTCAGAAGTAAACTGTACAACCAGTCTTGGAGCCACCAATACCCAGGGCTCAACAGAGTCCAACAGGCTGCACGGCACACAGGAGCCGCTGGAGGGGAGCAGATGGCACCCACCTGCTTCCCCACCACATTCCCCTACAAAGAACGACATGGCACAGTGCTGACTCCATGTTTCACAACTTTAATAGAATATTCTAACTATTCTGTACAAATTGAAAACACTGTATTCAGTTACAAATGTGTTCTAAGGTTAGGCTGAGCACTCTCCACAGGCCTGGTCGGTGCGGACATGGCCATCCCCAGGCTGCTGGAGAGTGCCGTCCCCCACTTGGAAATCCCACCCAGCAGCCGCCAACCGGTCACACCAAACCCAGGACCTTCAGACAGGATGAATGGTGGGGCCCAGCAATGGGGCTACTGAGAAAGCAGGACTTGACGCTCATACGCTCAACTGAAACGCAGGACTTCCCAGCCCAGCCCCTCACTGGAGAAGACCGCCGAAGCCCGGCTCCGGCAGCAGGGCGGCGCCTGCGTCACGAGGACGGGCTCGCGTCTTCAGCCCTGGTGGCAAGGAGCAGCGTTTCTTCCGCACAGGCCTTGCTCCTGCTAGGAAGTGGCACATCTTCCCGCCCAGGTCACCAAGGTGGTTCAGAAATGGTAAGGACGAGTGACAGCGAAAGGCCGCAGTCCTCACAGGCAAGAAGGGATAAATAAATATGAGGTGACCCGCAGCAGCTCTTGCCTGGGCTGGTGTGTCACAACCCTGACCCACCCCTTAAAAAAAGAAAATCAAGAAGCAACATCCTAAGAAGAACACGGCCCTACTCTACACAGCCCTTCTGAGATGATTAGCATATAACATGTGACGCAGGCTGCACACTCGGCAGATTAAGCAGCTGGAAACAGCAAGTGGGTTTCTTCGAATGAAAGGGAAGAATTCAGTCCAACTGCAGGAGGGCGGGAGAGGTTCTAGATCCTGGGAACCACATCAGACCTCGGCCCTTTTTGCCAAGTGACCCCCCCCACCCCGATGTGATCTATGGGGCCCTCCCACAGGGCCCAGGCAAGTCCAGAGCTACAGGCACCAAGGCTGCAGAGGGTGCTGGACGAAACCTCCTATTTCTGAAATGCATTTCAGTTGCCACTGTACAAGTTAAGCAAAATAATAAGGAAAAAGGAAAAGTGAAAGTGAAAATCATGCACTTGAAAACGAGTTAGATGGAGTAAGCTCTGTCGACGGGATTGTGCTGCGGCAAGGACCGGGGCCCCGCCCACAGGCCTGGAGTCCCGACAGTCGGTCTGCCAGGCACCCGCCTCCGCTTCCTACTGCTGCTTGCATTCCGCCGGCTGGCTGGGTTCCTTCTGTCAACGAAAAAGACAAGGCTTGTAGAGAACAAAGCCAGCTCCATTCACCAATTAGCTCCAATCAACAACGAAAGCCAAGACTGAATGAGTTCATTCTCATTGAAAAAAATGGTTACTGCAAATATACTTTTAAAAATAGTGACAAGAACAAAGCTAACTCCCCCTACCCCTGCACAGTCAAAGCAGGGCTGCTTTTTTTGTTTTTAAAGCTATGCCTTGAAGCATTCAAATTCATGTCATGTTCGGCAGGAGGGTTCTGGGGCTCCTTGGGGTGGTGAAGCTCCAGGAGGCTGCCCATTAAAGGGCTGGGAAGCAGCAGGCACTCCTGCCCACACAGAGCACAGTGCACTCAACATGGGCAGCTCCACCCAGGAAGGCCACCGCAGAGGCAACCCCTCTTGGTGCCGACAGTCCTCATTTCTCAAGGGCACATCTGTCTCAGGGTAGGCCGGACCCTTGGCGCTCATGGACAGCAAATCTCTCCTCTAGCAGGTTCCTGCTCTTTGTACTACCAGGTTGTGCCCCAGCAGATCCATCCTCTCTGGTGGTCTGTACTGCACCAACAAATGACGGGCTGCCACTCCCAAGAGCTCCATCTGTCACTCACTCTCTTAACAGTCTCACCAAGGGGGAATGCTATCCTTCCAGTAACGGCATCCGGGACACAATTCCCCTCCCAGAGGAATGGATTAACTCCAATATTATCTAACACAGAGATCTTGTACTCTTTAAACCACATCCAGCAACTCCATGAATTTGTGTGGAGGCCAACAATAGCCTAAGAAATATGACATGATCTTGCTAATGCTCCTGAGCTAGTAACTTCATGGACCTATAACCTGTGATTTCTGGCCAAGATTACAAACTGCTCTTAATCCAGCGTGCCTATGGAACCCAAGAACTTGGACTGTATGGGGCAGAAAGACCCCTGGGTAACCACAGATGACATCTTCCATGGTATAAGCTGGGTTAACATAACTGACATCTTCCATGGTATAAGCTGAGGCTACAGTTCATTCTTTGGGAAATCACATTTAAGGGATAGTCAAAAAGATATGTATAAAAGATGAAAAAAAAAATCAATAACCTTGAACCCTGGTCTAAGCTCCCAATCTCAGCCACCCCACAGGCTGCCTAAAGAGCCTGGCTGAGACAAAATGACACTGACCAAAAACCCTCACCAAAAAGATCAACTGAGACCTGTCAATCTGACATTCAAGGATAGACTGAAGGTGGCCCAGTGTACTAGCCAAGGGCACTGAGCCACTGGCCTTAAGAGTGTGGGGGATGCAGCGCGCCCCGGGCAGGTGCAGTGAGGGGAGGAGTGGGACAAAGCAGTGTGCCTCCACCAAGGGACAAGCCTAGAAAATGGGAGGTCAGTAAAGGAGCTGTGCAGGGACGGGGAAGACTGGGGCTGGTAACAGGGTGACAGACTCCATCTTTATGTGCATTTAAGTTATGCAAATACTATGTCATGTCATACACAGGATTTTATAATTTTTTTTTTTTTTTGAGACGGAGTCTTGCTCTGTTGCCTAGGCTGGAATGCAGTGGCTGGATCTCAGCTCACTGCAAGCTCCGCCTCCCGGGTTCATGCCATTCTCCTGCCTCAGCCTCCTGAGTAGCTGGGACTACAGGCGCCCGCCACCTCGCCCGGCTAGTTTTTTGTATTTTTTAGTAGAGACGGGGTTTCTCCGTGTTAGCCAGGATGGTTATAATTTATCCTACCACAGATTGAGCATCCCAAATCCCAAATCTGAGACACTCCAAAATCTGGAACCCAAGACAAAGAAAATGCTCACGGGAGGATTCCAGATTTGGAATGCTCAACCAGAAATAAATCTAAATTATCCTAAGTTGCAGAAATGAAGTAACAGGCATTTTCAACCATGAGAACGTAGTATTCATCTGTCCTAAATAAAACCAATATCCTGGGTAAAGACTTCTAGAGGGAATAGAGTCCACATAGAACAGACTCTCAAGACTGGTGTCATGACCCAGTGCCTTGTTGGAGGGGAGTGGGCCAGGCACCTGGCTCTGGGAAGAGCTGCCTCCCCCGTGCCTGAGGGCACAGCCCCCTCTGGGCAGGAAGGCAGCACGTGGCCCACCCCTGCCAGGCTTTGGTGCTCACACAGCATGCTGGAGCTTCTGCAAGTGACTGACAGTTTTAGAAGTAAATTTTACATATGAGACACCAATTGTTTTCAGCCTGTGATACATGCCAAAAACAAAAACAAAGAAACAAAAAAACAAAACTGCACCTAAACTCCTAAACTGAAGCATCCTTTATCTCATGTCATAGATTTTAATGATGGTTGGGTCATTAATCGACGCTAAGATTATCAAGGGAGGGGGAGCTGGCATTTTAAAAGGTACCAACTAATAGGAAAAAAATCTCATGTCTCATGGGACCATTTAAAAGGTGGGGTTTTAACAGATAACACTCGACCTGAGAAAGGCAACAAAGACATGCCACTAAAACACACTCGACCACAGCTGCGCTGGTGAAGAAGCCCCAAGTGCCCAGAGCTCTATGGCTGAAGAGGCAGTGGCCTCAGGGTGACACGCCTCGGGGTTGCACCCTGCCCTTCTCTTCCAGGGACACATGCTGAAATACGGACAGGTGGCACGCACCGAGGACTCTCTTCAAAAGAGCTGGTGGCATGGGAGGAGTGGCTGAGGGTACAGGTGGAACAGGAGTGGCTAAGTTCTTCAGACATAAGGGGACAACGGGAATTAACGGCAGCTAGACGTATTTTTAAACATACAGGCAAATTCTCAAACCTGGCCGTGGAAAACAAAATCGTTCCAAGAGCTGCATCTGCCCTATGTACGCATCAGTTTCCCATGAAAGCAGCCTACATGAGGAAGACAGGGAGACGGTGGTGCTAAGACCTCAAGGACATCTGGTCTATGGGCTGCCAGGATCATGCTGCCGTTCCATGATGAGACCCTTAAAATCGGAGTGCCTACATATCCCGGCATGCAGAGGCCCTGCTACGATCGTGGGGTTTCTCACGGCACCTCTTGTTCCCACCTCTCTGCTTTCTCCCACAACATCCCACGAGTGCCACGAGTGAACGGGTCTCGTCACGGACAAGGGCCTCTGTCTACTTACGGCCTCCTGTCAGCCATTCCAGGACAGGGCAGAGCTACAGGGACTGAAGAAAGTGGGGGGTGGGAAAGAGCTTCCAGGATTACTGACACTCGTTTTAATCTACAACTGGTTCTTGCTTCATTCAATTAGAGAATTCTCCGCCAACCTCACAACAGTACTTTTTACTGCTGACACCAAAACAGATGCCAGTTAACACTGCAGATAAAAAATGCTGGCACACTAAAAGCTGTTACTCCTCTGTGTACCTATTGGTCTGCACAGAACATGAATTCATAAAGTGTAGATTTCAACAGACACGTGCTGGTAGTGACAGTGGGCTGATTTCAACTGCCACAGTATGTGTTCTGAGCACAGCTGGGCCCAGTGTGCTATGCGCTCTGCAAGGACTGCTTCCTTATGGTGGCCTGTGTGCGCCCCCCTGCAGACTGCTAACCATCCAGGGCCCTCTTGCTGGAAAGCAGTACCCTCATCAGCAATGAAAATAAATCTTTGCTACTTGGTTAGCAAGAAACACTGGGCTCAGAAAGCAGGGACCAAATCTAGGTTTGGTTCGTTGATTTTAAAAGTACATGTAACAGACATCTGTACAAAAACAGTGTTCTTCAGAAAGCTCTATGTCAAACCTGTGACACAGTGAGTGTGCCTGGACAGCAACTCCCTCTTTATTCAAAGTCAAAACAATGCATTGTATAAAGTATAGATCAGAAGTTTGGAAGTTAGGTATGAATGGAATTCCACCTTACCTAGAAACGTATGAATGATTAACAGACAAAAATTACACCTAAATGGGGAAAAAAATTGAAAGGAACTGTCAGCATGAAAGAAAATGAAATGCACAAAATTATACAGGAGGCAACGGCCACAATTTCTCATGGTACAAAAGGGCTGCAAGATACTGAACTCGGGGTGAACAACTTCAACACCAGATCATACTTTCAAAATGGGCAGAAGCATGATTTTCGCTTTTATCAGACTGCCCCCAATACGAAAACCTCCCTTCCTTCCTTGTTTTCTTTTGCTTGCACAGACTCTAACACTGCCCATCTCTTTGGAAGGTGCATGTGACAGGGATAGCAGGCTTGGCCTTATCCCGGCCACACATGCCCGGCCGTCTCTGAACTTCATTCACACCATTAGCCTGTATATGTTTTTAGTCCTTTCTCCCCCAGCCAACAAAACCTATCAGCGGTCTCATGGCGTGTTAGCCTGTAATCCACCACGTCATGTTCTCTATAATGGCTGGTGAGAATGCTCTTTTAGAAACCTGGGACGTGAAAGGAGACTCAAGGTTCTCCAAGGTGACAGAAGGAAGCAGAACAAACAACAGAGGGGAGGAAAAGAGACGCCGAGGCACAGAATATAGGGAGGGGGAGAGACAAGCACAACAAGGACAGGCAGCTGTGCGCGGAGTCTGAGGAGGTGGCCCTGCCAATTGCCCCCAGTCCTTGCTTTACAACTGCAACCTTGAAAGTGTCCATTCAGCGCCCACAAGGTGGAAACATGGCCCAATAAACACACGTGGCCCTTGGGTCCATCAGACACCCTGCAGAGCAGTGATGGGCAGCATTTATTCCCCCAGCGTTGTTCACTGGCTGACTGACAGCCCTCATCTTCCCTGTCCCTACACTGTGATCCACGCAAGGCAGACCCAGGCCTTGATCTCCTACAGCCCTCACCGCCCACCACCATGGTGCTGAGCACAGGTACACTTTCAGCACAGAGACCTCCCACATCAACAGGCCAACCTTTAGAAGATGAACATTTCCATGAGCATATTATTCCCAGAGTAGTCTTTATAAGACACATTCTCAAAAAAGTTTTAAAAGCTCTTCTCCCATCCCTTCCCTGAAGGAACAACTGTGAACACGCATTCATGGGAATAGCTGGTTTCAACCAACTGATGACAGAGCCAGGATATCACACTGACAGCTTAGTGCACACTCCAAAAACAAGGGTAAAAACAAGCAAAAAACATCTACTCGGACAGAGACACATTACAAAAACACCAGGTAACATTAGTATTCTGACAGCCCATAAGGAACCACACATTTCATGTTTTATGAGAGGAAACTCTTATGACAGCTGTAGGATGACATTTAAGCAGTTCTGATTTTAAAATGTGTCAAATGGTCAAAGTACCTTAAGTTACTCTGAGACCACAAATAAAAATCTAAATTTGCAGGTAAAATTAATGGGGTTGTCCACTCATTTCCAACTCAGTTTTCTTTAGTAAACCTTCCCAATATATTTTAAATTATCTGAGACAGATGAGATATCTAGACACACCATCTGGACATGCCCAGCTCAACTGCAACTGTCAAATGATGCCCACAACCCCATTATTCTGCTCCTTAACAAAAAGAGCCCCCAAGTCCCTTCTTTGCACCTTTTCCAAACACGCGCAAAGAGAAGTTTATGTTGTCAGTTAAATCATTACCTTACCTTAAAAGAATGAAACACTGGGAAAGTCAAGGTGCTCCACTGAGGAGTCTACGTAACTAAGACACAGCCTGAGATAGCTGGAAAAGCTTCTACTGAATATGTACACTCAACACTCAAATTATATACACAGTGCCTGAATAATCATTCCAGTATTTTTCTGACACATTTTAAACTTTCTAATTAGGGAACAATGAATACTGTTGACACTACTGCCTCAAAGTGGGGAACATTTTTAAAAGTCTAAGAGTGTAGCATAATAAGTAGGTCTGGGTGGCCCCAAAGTTACCAACCTTGGGGTTAATTTCTGCATCATCCTCGTCTTCTCCCTCCTCGTCACCTTCTAATTCCTATATTTAAAAAGTGAGAATTAGCTGGAATGACAAGATTTAAACTCTTGTGGCGTTCACAATCCACAAACACACGGAGCAATACACTGCCTTAGACGGAAATCAATTACTGCTACCCACAAGTGACTCATCACTTCCTCTGGACACTTAGAATTATTTCTAGGTATCTTTTTATTCTCACAGATAGCCCTAAAAGAAACACAATTCTGAAAAAGTAGATTTTGTTAAATGATTATTTTCTAAGATACATTTTCATAAGCCAACTGCAGGGTCAAAAGCTGTCACAGCATTTGCTATGCATTTCTGCTTAGTGTTTTAAGAACACTGTTAGAGTCAAAGGCAGCGTCACAAAAAATGGGTGCACCACAGCCCTGTGAGTCCGTAACCTTCAAGCAGAGAAAGCCAAAAAAACAACTTCAGGGAGGTAAGTGGCGCTGCATGAACCTGTCTCTTACCTCCTCTTCTCCTTCTTCGCCTTCTTCAAACTGGAAAAACACAGAAAAACATTTTTAAGTTTACAAAACATGACAGCAGCCTGCCGGAGACACCAGTCCCATCAAATGACTCACTGATCAAGCCTAAGAAGAGCAGAAAGTTCAGCCACACTGCCTGCTGGGCCTCGCTTGGCTGAGGAGTCATTTGCTTGTGTGCAATGCATTTTAAAAGCATGCCAGGAAATTGAAAGTCACGCAAACCAAGGAATAGGATAGGAAGCTGGTCAGCCAGGCTGTACACTGGACACAGTTGGGAACCTGGCACCACAGCTCTGCCCTGAGTGTTCTCACACAAGGAGCAGGCACACAGGAAAAGATTTGTGTAAACCAATGAATTTGCTTTCCTTAAATTTTTTACAAGGCTGATCTAACCAGCAGCATAATGTTATTGGATACAGGAACCTGGGTATCATTTTACATCTCACACAAAGGGAAAAAAAAACTTAGTAGAAATATATTAAAACTTTGGTGTTTAATCTTTAAACACTAAGGTGCTCAAAAGTGAACCTCCAACATTAGTCAATTGTCTTGAATCAGTTTCTCCTACATCCAAAGACATCATTGGTCAGACTGAAAATCAAGTTTCAAACATGAAACTTACATTAAAAGCAAAACCATCTTATCACTACTGGTTGCATAACCAGGGTAGTACACTGAAAATGCAGTTTCATTTATCAACATTTCCCTTTTTGTTGAGCTCACACCATGTATTCCTTAGAGCCAACTTCAGTGGAACTTAGAAGGATCTTACTGTGCTGGTGTGGAGTTCACACAGTTTGCACAGCCTCCTGGCGCCACGCAGCAGCCAGGATGAGACGTGACCACAGTGCAGCGCCCTTTCGCTCTAAGGATCCTAACTGGCATCAGACAGGGAAAGACTTCTTAACAATCTTCCATTTCAGGTCAGATCCCAATGGGCCTCCAGCAGGCTCCAGGGCCTATTCCAAAGCTCTAAGGACAGCATTTCGCCCTTGAGGAGCGGCTGTGCACAGGGGCTGCTCCAGATGCATTACCCACCTGGGCAGGTGGGACTTTTTATGCCAACACTTACTGTGTCATTGCTCTGTGCCAGGTGCTCTGTTAAGGGCTATGTTCAGGTGCCATGTTAAGGGCTTAACAAGTAATCAGAGTCTTCACCATGAGCTCTACTTATAGCTGAGGAAACTGAAGCTTAAGGAGGTGGTGGAACTACTAAGGGGGAGAGTGGGGATGTGAGTCTAAGCAGTCTAATCTGAGCTGGCACTTCTAGCCTCTAAATGACACTGCTTATCAGTAGTACCTGTGCTGAACATATTATGAATGAAATACACATTTACTATAAGCAAATGTGGCACAGTGCTCACCAGTAGTACAGACATCGCATATAAGTAAACAAATAGCACACATGCATATTCAAGTCTTTTAAACTGATGGGTGTATGATCAAAAAAGTTTGAGATAAGCTTTCCAATGTGTAGCCACTAGCCCTTAGCTCACTATTTAAACTTAAACTAATGTAAATGAAATGTTCAGTTGCTCAGTCACAGCAGCCATATTTTATTTCAAGTCCTCAAGTGGTCAGTTCTTCTGCGCTGCACCAAGCAGGCAGAGGATAGTTCCATCAACAGAGGAAGTTCTATTGGAAAGTGCTGGTCTAGAATCCGTAAAACTATGTCGTGGCAGCTACCTGACTGTCCATGTTCCCTGACCTACAATCACCTCCCAGCCTAGGGATGAGCCAGCAAGTTGAGTTTTAGAAGTTAAACGAACAGTCTAAGACCTAACAGCTGACAAAGAGCACGCTGGCCTGTTCTCCCCACTGGTGGAACTCAGTACAATGGGAGAAGTGTGAGGAGATGTTGGTCTTTACTGCCACAGAGGGCTAAGGCCCTTGAACCCACCTAGGCTCTTGCTGCCCTGTCTGAAGCCCCAACAGGCCAGCCCTTCTAAGAAAAGAAACTTAGCGCAGCCACAAAACCTAAGAGCTCCACAAGCAAGAGAATGTCATCTAGAACACACTTCCAGTAACATTCTATAAAACAAAACTTTATTTTCCACAGATCAAGAAGACTTGAAGCTGCCTGAACCTTGGTGAGGATGGGAGTTTCTGAGCGGTGCACGGGCTGTGTGCCCGCAAGTTCTGACCGTGGAAGAGCTGGCTTCCCTCAAGCCCAGAAAGGAAAGTGACGTGCAATCTTGTTGTTTTCTTGGGAGCACGGGTCTTTTTCCTTTTTACCTAATTAGATAGAAGTTCAGGAATTTCTACTTCTTTTGGGTTGACGAAATACAGGCTAGCGTGAGTCCACTGTCAATAAATGTTTGCTGTGGTCAGACCTCCATGAAAGAGATTTTCCCCATGTTCAGAAGTACCCTGAAGCTTAGGTTTTTAGAGAATACTGTTGAATCACTAGGCAGGGCTCACATAGGAAACTGGCAATCACCTCTGAAACTGCCTCACAGACACCTGCTTTTTCTGCTCTGTTCCTCAGACCTCTCCTCTTCAAGTATATCCCCCCCACAACAAGGACAGCAGCTTAGACTACGTATCTGACTGATGATGTCATAAAAAGATTAGGCATGGGGGTTTCCCAAGCCACAATTCAGGGCCACTCTGCACCAACAGAGATAAGCACCCAGGTGGGAGCCCCCCTTCCCCGAGCCTCATACATTGTCATCATCCTCTATGGCCTCCCCAGTGAAGTACAGCACAGCCCGCGGGACTATCCGCTCACGGAAAAAGTGTCCAATTTCAAAATCAGAGGCTAATGTGAATTCAGAATCTTCATCCTGAGGAGGAAAAACCCACGTGTTAACTCATTTTAATGCGATAAAAACATTTGCTTCACCACCCTCAGCTAAACCTCAGCCCCTCACTTATGATTTACTTGACTTAAAACACCAAACTCCTGCACTGCTGGGGGACAGCCACTAGATACTCAAAGCCCTTTTAAAACAACTGCAAGCAGCTTTAAAGAGCTACTGAAGCAAAATGGCAGAGCAAGTGGGAATTGAGGGCCTCACAGCTCCATCACTTGTCCAAAGGTCTCACTCAAGAGTAGGGGGTATCAGAGTCTCACACATGGGGAACGGGCAGTATTAAAGCACTACACGTTTGCTACTGAAACCAACATATGAAACACGTACTTTTACTTTTCTATCACCCAGGTTGGAGTGCAGTGGTGCAATCACAGCTCACTATAGCCTCAAGCTCCTGGGCCCCAGTGACCCTGGAACTACACAGTGCACCACCATGTCCAGCTAATTTATTATTTTATCTTTTGAGACGGAGTCTCCCTCTGTCGCCCGATGGAATACAGTGGTGCAATCTCAGCTCACTGTAACCTCCTCCTCTCGGGTTCAAGTGATTCTCCTGCTTCAGCCTCCCAAGTAGCTGAGATTATAGGCACTGCCAACATGTCCAGCTAATTTTGTGTGTGTGTGTGTGTGTGTATTTTAAGCAGAAACGGGGTTTCACCATGTTGGCCAGACTGGTTTGAACTCCTGACCTCTGGTGATCGACCCACCTTGGCCTCCCAAAATGCAGGGATTACAGGCGTGAGTCACTGTGTTCGGCCAGTTAATTTATTTGATTTTAATTTTTTGTAGAGATGGGGCTGTGCTATGTTGCCCAGGCTGGTCTCAAACTCCTGGACTCACGCAGTCCTTCCACCTCAGCCTCCCAAAGCATTAAGATTACAGGCATACGCAGTCCATACACAGCCAGGACTGGACTTTTTTAAACAAGCAGACAAGTAGACATTCACCCAGGAGAGACTTCAACAGCAAAATCAGACTAGTAACAACAAATCTTACCAGTGATTCTCCATCCCCCGATGCTAGGAAAAAAAAAAAAAGACAAAACATATTTAAGTTACAGTGACAAGTCCCAGAATTTTAAAGCCCACACAGGAGTAAGTTGTGCTGGTAAACAAAATGTAACATTTTTCACCTTGAGGTTTAAACTAGAAATCCCCAAAGCCTTGCATCTCCTGACAGACATCGTCGCAAGCTCCATCCACCACTTCTGAAGCTGGCCTGAGTGCCTCTATGCCCCCCTCCCCTCTCCTCCATCACGTGCCATGGGCTGGCACTCAAGCTTGAGAAAATCATTTTGAGAGGGTTAATATATTAACAGGAGGAAAGGCAAACAGCCCCTAGGCTATGGCCATGTGGCCATTCAGTGCATTTGTGCTTTATGGAGAAATTTAACTCATGTCCTGCAGAACTATACATGATGGTGCAGGAGAGAAAGAGAAAGTCCTTAAGCCTTATAAGCTGTGAGTGTTACTAAGGCACTGCATCTCGGCGAGGCAGAAACTGCATTTCTAACTGTTTGGAGAGTGCTGAAATGCCCACCAGTGCCCCCGTAGAGTGGCGCAGCTCCTCAGTGAAAGCTGATGCTTAGATGAGCTAAGCACACCAAGACAGACAGGGACTTCTAACCACACTCAATGAAGCCATGCAACATTCAAATGGTACACGATCCAACCCCCTGATTTTAGAGACATTTACTACAAGACCCTGACCTTCATCAGGAGTTGAATGTTTACTCTACTTAGTCTCATACCTGCCTTTTCAATCTTCACTGGGCTCTTCTGAGTCTCTCTTCCCATTAAGCGACCACAACCCTGGCAGCACTTGCTGTCTGCTGCTGAGACATGAGCATTGGGTGTGTAAACACCACCCATGAGCAAGGCAGAGCTCCCAAGCCTCGGTGTGCCAGCATCACCCGGGGGTTTAAGACATGGGTTAGGGGCATGGCTGGGTGTCTAAACGCTGGAGCAGCATGCTCCCCAGGGCACTCTGGCCGGGGTCATGAATCAGCACAAGGATTCTCAGCACTCATACTTCTGGACTGGCTTTGTAGCTTTAAGGACAAAGACAGAGCTGGACTCACTAGCTAATGCCTCCTTCACTTCATACCACAGGAGTTCATTTTGTCTGTTCCTTCACTACCCCATTACCTACTCCCTGCCCATCCTCAATTTTTTTCATAGCACTTACCATATGGCATTATGTGTTTGATTACTTTAAAAGTGGCTTTATTGATGGGATTTACATACCACAAAAGGCATACACTCTAAATGTACAACTTTATGACTTTCAGTGTGTTAACTTTAGAGTTGTGCAACCATACCATAAAAGTTTTAGAACCTACAACAAAAAAAAAACACTTAAAAATTCCCTTGAGTCCACTTTCAACTCCATTTTTATCCTAAAAATTATTATTATTTTTTTTTTAGGTGGAGTCTTGCTCTGTCTCCCAGGCTAGAGTGCAGTGGCACAATCTCGGCTCACAGCAAGTTCTGCCCCCTGGGTTCACGCCATTCCCCTGCCTCAGCCTCCCCAGTAGCTGGGACTACAGGTGCCCGCCACCACGACTGGCTGATTTTTTGTATTTTTAGTAGAGACGGGGTTTCACCATGTTAGCCAGGATGGTCTCAATCTCCTGACCTCGTGATCCACCCACCTCGGCCTCCCAAAGTGCTGGGATTACAGGCGTGAGCTACCTCACCCAACAAAAAATTATTTTTAAATCAGTTTTAAGAAAACTTCCTACAAAAAGTCAGTGATTCCAGAAAGTAAAGCCCCCTGCTTCACGGTGAATTCACAATCTCCAATATGCCCAACCCAAATGTCTAAAAGGAATCTTGCAAAAGAACATGAAATGTAATACCTAATTTTATGACTGCTCTCATTCCCCAAACCATATATATTTGTATCTTCTATATTCAAAGTCTAATTGCAGAAAATAGGCACCACAATTAAAATAACGAACTGAACTCTGAAGGATAGCTTGATAAATAAGGGTGCTAAGCTCAGAGACAAAATCAAAAAAATTAAACACTCAGATTGGAGAAGAGAGCCGCCCTGTGGCCCCACATACAAACACTAACTGATTATCTGCAGCAGGGGATGGCATCTCTTCACTTCAAATTATGTTTTTGTTCATGGAAACTAAAGAGAATATGGATATTTTAACACTGACAAGTAGTTTGAACTTCACATTCTCTCATGATTAGGAAATTATATGAAAAATCCCAAGTAATTTACTCTCAAAATCAACTGGTCAATCTTTACTAGTTCAAAGGTCTCATCTTTATTTTACCACTTAGGAACATTTAAATAAATAAATAAATAAATGGAAGCAGCTTCCAAGCTGTGATTCTGCCAATGTTTTTCAAAACTGAAAGTCCCAACTACTTGTTTCTCACAATATATAAATTCCAAAAACTTCTATCAAACTGTGCATAAAATAAAATTACGAGAAAAGGGGGACTAAGCAGATGATCCAAAAGCGGCACAACTAGAACCAGCGTACAGCAGTAACGGGTACCTGGAGAGCAAACCCAGCAGCTCTCCCAGGCTGGGAGTGGTCTCTGGGGGGTGCAAAACAGACATAACAGAGGGGCAGAAATGCCAACTGGTGGAGAAGGGTGCTTCAGGTGAGGAAGCAGCCCAGGTGCAAACACTCCATTCAGTTTTATTAAAACAGAACTACAAGTTTTTGCCTGGGCTGCAGCCAAGCAGAGCAAAGCTCTTCCCTTTCCTGCAGAAGATGACAATCATACTCTTACTGTCCTAGCTACCTCTGCCCGCCACAATAAACTTGCCAGCACACCAACAGAACAGCCTGGGACACAGCAATGTGCCCCTACTGACCACACTTGCCTGAAAGAACAGGACTAAAGTCTCTGGGTGTTAGGAATCTATCAGGTGACCAAAATTATTTTACACAAGTACATAATGAATATTAACCACCAACAGACTTGCCTTTCAGTGGATTGAAGAAGTTGAAAAAGGACTCATTGGGTACTTGTTTCGTAATTGTTCTAACAGTGCCTCGACCCTTATGCTTCTGCTTTTTCTTGATGGTTTTGACAGTAACATTCTTTCCTTTCTTCCAGTCAATGGTACACCTACCAGGACAAGACAGCTATCATGAACACACAATCCATGAGAAAAATCCATTACAAATGCAGGCAGGAAGCAAACCACAGCTCTATGCCAAACCTGGAAAACTAAATAAAACCAATCTGCAAACCAAATACAATGGCCCATGAAGTTCATCTGGAGGTTGGCAAAAGAGAAATGGCCTGGTCCTCTTTCAACTTGGGTGTGACCACTGCCTCAAACTTCAGACTTCTGGAACAATGGTATTATTTTCCCAAGACATTTCATCAGGACTCTGAAATGTGTATTCTGTGGCAAAGCCCTTGTGTCAAGTCTGCACGATGCACAAGAACTTGTCCTTGGCTTCCCAAGGAAGCAGGAGTTGCTGCTGCTGTTCAAGGCAGCCAAGTGAGCAGAACAAGCTGAAAAAAGGAAATAGGTGGCCACTGGGAATCTTGACGGCCAGTGCAGACCACTCCAGCCCCAGGGAGGCTGGCAAGGGCTGAGCACAACACGCTCTCTAACACACAATCACCATGGACCCAGGAAACACCTGGCAGATCTCAATACTGCCCGCTTAAGAACATGCTTGGAAAGGCCAGGCCTTTTTCTCACACAATGGCCTGGCCCTGGAAAATCATTTTTCTAAATTACTCCAGCAGGATTTCAATAAAGTCCTGAATTAACAATTAGTACTTAGTTCTGGTAAATAAACTTAATTGTTTCAAGTCAAGACTAAAACCATTTCTCAGTCAATCCAACCTGGAGAAATTAATTCTAAACCAAATTCTCTCTTTAGTGATTTATAAAGCCTGAAATCAGTGAGTCAAACAACAGCTATGCTGCCCCCACCTATCTCCAAAGCAATGAGCTGACAGCCTTGGACTCAGACTCATTCATTCAATAAGTATTTATTTGCTGAGGGTAATCCACGAATTCAATTTTAAGAACTTCAATTCATGATGTCTAGAGAACCCAATACTTTCATTAAAATGAAGAAACCGGGCACTATCCCAAAGGCTTGCACGTGCAACCACGTGACTCATTTCCCAGGTTCGGCCACCATCTCCAAGTTCTGCACTACAAGCATTCCCAAACTGAAAGACTATTGAAATATCCATCTACCAGGCTTTTAAGCAGACTCAAGACTGTACTTTACTCCTTACTTCTATCTTACCCATCAAGTTACAAAATTATCTCTTCATTTTGTTTCAGAAAAACAAGGTAGAATGACATTTTCTTACCCGTCACAGTCCACAATCTCAGGACCTTCAAAGGAAAAGGGATCAGCCTTATCCGGTTCTGATTTCATCTTGTAGGTTTTTGTCAGGACTGAGTTGGTAAAGTAGTCGTTGGGTTCAAAGTGGAACTCTAACACAAAAGACTAAAAGCAGAAACTCAGAGTAAGCACCAGTTAAAATCGAAAAATAACGAGGACAGATTGCTTGGAGTACACAACACTGACTAGAAGCTATTTTGGGAAAGCTCAACAGATAGGGCCATGGAACGAGAAAAACTTCTCCATTGCAAAAAAGGCCACGATGAAGTTAAAAAAAACAAATGATGGACTGGAGGGAAATAGCTGTTCAGTTCATGAGTAGGGGCATGTCCTGCTCCAACGCCTCCTCACCAATAGGGGTCAAGCTCTCCTAAAGAATCCTAGCTTCTCTTAGCTGCTCCCAACCCTTGCTTCCTGGAAGGAGGGAAGGTGACTAGGGGAAAGTAGGGGCACCAGCAGTCCATCCTCCTCCTCTCCTTTTCCGCTCAGCCTAAGCCCCAGCCCCCACCCTGCTGGGGGAAGCCAGGGTCTGTATTCTGTGCTGTGCAGTAAAAGCAGTGACCCACAGCTTTTCTCCCGGGAGGTGGGTGGGAGAAAAGGACAAATCTCTACAAGGACAGAAAGCTCATCCCTCACTTACAAAGCATGCTACAGACCTGGAAGAGAGGTAAGCACACCGGGAAAAACGATGCAAACACGAATGCAGGCATAGGTAACATCCAACAGCAGCAACAAGGCATTTATGCTCACAAGTAACAAAACACAAGAACACCAAAATGAGATGCCTTTCTTTGGGGCAAAATGTATAAAAATATGTAGACCTAGCCAGGATTTTGGGGTACTGGGCACACTCATATACTGTCAACAGATTTTATGAAGGACAATTTGGCAATATCAAAAAAATAGTAAAATAAAAAGGCATATTCCCTGACTCAATAATTCCATTTTGAGGAACTTCTTCAATTTGAGAAAAATACCTGGATGATGCATTGGTATGTGCAAAGACATTTTACCTCATCCCTATTTATAAAAGAAAAACCTGGAAGATGAGCTTGGTCGAGTAATTTATAGACAGTTTACAAGACCAATTTTGCGCTCAGACAGCCTGGGTTCAAATCCCATCTCTGCCTTCAGTGCTGGGCAATTCGCAGAAGCTACTCAATGTCTCCGTGCTCTGCTTTCCTCCATTGCCAAGGCCAGTGGAGAGCTCCTAGCCAGATCCTGCTGTCATCCCTTCTAGAAAATGGAAATAACTCTCTCCCTCTCTAGGAGCTGCCTTGACGGTTAATCTAGACAACTTAGAACAGAGCCGGGTTTATGGACAAGGCTGGTTAAACGTTAGCTGTTTCCATTTTCATTGTAATGGTAAAACCATCAATGGAGGGGAAATTAAGAGGACTAAAAAAAAAATACAGTAATAATTTCCTCAAAAAAAAGTTTATACATTCAAACAAATCACTTGCACAAAGGAGAATTGAAAAAGTAACTTCCAAAGAAAGGTGGAGGAGGAGGGGGGGGCCATGAGGGCTTAGGAAGTCAGGATCAGGGAGACAGTGTAGTTGGTTTCTAGAAGCGATGACAGCAGGACCTGGCTAGGAGCTCTCCACTGGCCTTGGCAAGAGCAAAGGAAGCGGGTAGGGCACTGCAGATGAACCACACAAAGGAAACGCCAGTCACTTGCCTGGTAAGTCACAAGGAAAGGAAGAGGCAGCTACAGGGAATCAGCATCAAATAAAATGCCAATTTCTCTCCCAACCCTCCAGGGCTTAAAAAAAAAAAAAACAACATAAAGAGGGAAGGCAAGCAGCCAACCAATGGAGAGACTGCTGTGATTCCAGAACTGTTTAAGGCTGTAACCACAGTGTGGACAACCAACCCAGGGCATGGGATGACCCCAATAATACAAATAGTATTATTAGACTTGTGGTCCTTCACCATGTCCTACTCATTTTTCCCCTCCTTTTTACTTTCCTTTTAAAGACCAGTTCTCTCTATGTTGCCCAGGCTGGTCTCGAACTCCCGGGCTCGAGCAATCCTCCACCTTGGCCTCCTAAAGTGCTGGGATTACAGGCATGAGCTACCACACCCAGCCTACTTTTCTATAGATAGATTCATATTTCTTCCTATTTTCCTTTTTTCTCTCCCCTCTGACTTTGTTCAGTCAAGAGTAACCCAAAGACAACTGAAGATGATTCAAGAAAGTGTTTAACTGCCCAAATGAAAAGTGGCTTGAAGATAAGACTGCTTAATTCACATATGCACTACAGTCAGGCAAGCCACAAATATGCTAACCACGCTCAATCTTACAAGCAACTAAAGAAATGTAAAATTAGCAGGGCCTAGGTGGCTCATGCCTGTAATCCCAACTGAACGACCTTTGGGCCTTCTAAAGCTTCATCTTCTTTCACTCAGTAAGTATACTGAAAGGAATCTAAACTAAATAAATTAACAAACATTTAATTTAACAGAAATTTGGGTTCAAGTATGCTGATCATAATGCAACAATTTACAATGGGGGAGGTGGTGCATGCAGGGGAATGTTAAAACATTTTATAGCCAATGGCGGCAGTAACAACTATTCCCCCAGCCAAGCCTGTGTGATGTGACAGCAGGGTGACACTGTGCACACACCATGTGGTGTGGCAAGAGCCATGTGGCACACGTGTGCACTGTGTGTCCAGGTGGGCAAGTGCTCAAGGGAAGGGAATGAGGCATGGTGGGGAGCTGCAAAAACACCAGCCAAGACTCATTTTGAAGTTTTATTTCTCTTTATAACTTAAAATGTCTCAGATGCTTCATAATAATTTTACAAAGGAAAAAGAGTATGGGGAAACTCACTAAGCTGCTGATATTTACTTATAGAAAACAGATTTGTACAGCGTTCTTTACACTTGCCCGTATTTTCTACATATGACTTTAATAATAGGGAAGTAAAAAGAAAAAAAGATTACTGGTCCACAGTCTACCACAACCAGAGCTCTAGTCTATGAGTAACCATGAGATGGAGAAAAATAAGATGACAGGCTAAGAAAGAAAGAAAATTGACCTAGGAAATCATCAAACAGGTGTTCAATAAAAAAAAAGAGGCCGGGTGTGGGGGCTCACGCCTGTAATCCCAGCATTTGGGAGGCTGAGGTGAGCAGATCACGAGGTCAAGAGATTGAGACCATCCTTGCCAATGTGGTAAAATCCTGTCTCTACTAAAAATACAAAAATCAGCTGGGCGTGGTGGCGCACACCTGTAATCCCAGCTACTCGGGAGGCTGAGGCAGGAGAATAGCTTGAACTCGGGAGGCGGAGGTTGCAGTGAGCCGAGATCATAGCACTGCACTCCAGCCTGGCGACAGAGTGAGACTCCGTCTCAAAAAATAGTAATAATAAAAAGAAAAGAAAAGAAAGGGTAAAAAAAGGAACTAACCCAAAGGAGAAAAAAAGTTAATTGAGTCTGGATGAATTAAGTACAAGGAAAACACACACAGAACCTTAAAGCACCACACACTCACACCATGGGGAAGAGAATGCACACCAATGAGGGTAAACTAGGCAGACGTGCCCGGCGGCTCCCGGGGGCCCTGTGATAAAGTCTAAACAGAAGAGATGCAAGCCCAGGAAGAAGGACCTGCTATGACCCACATGGGACAGGGAAGATGGGGTGTCCCCTCTGGAGGCAGCCCCTAGCTGCTGAGCAGGCATCACTCCTGACCCCCAGTGCCCCACCTGGAGAGAGACACCTGAATATCACCTTCCATAGTGGAAACCAGACAGGAACAGGAAAAAGTAGAAGGGACAGATACAGGTGGATCCACTGCCTGCCCCTGCCGCTGCCCCAGGCATTACTTGCAGCACTTGCAGTGAAGAAATTCTACTCCTAGTGGCCCTCGTCCATTAGCCCGGGCCCCAATACTGAAGAAATCCCACTCCTAGTGGCCCTCATCCATTAGCCTGGGCCCCAGTGCTGAGATGGGGAGGAAGGAAGACACTGCTGACTGGTCCCAGGTCCCTACCACCATCACCCATCCGCAAGATCCCTAACCCACAGCCTGTCATGCAGCATTTGTCTCCAAGACCTGAAACTGAAAGCCACCAGTCAGTCAGTCATGTGTCGCTGGAAATGCTATTGCACCGGAATGGAACCCATTAGCTACAGCCAGGCTAACAGGTTAACGAACAGTGCTCCCTGGGAGAACCAGGCTAGGATGAGACAGCCTGGGGAGGCTATCTGAAGATGAGCATGTTTCCTCAGATAAAAGTAAGGGCTGACCTAGTCAAGCTTGTCTTACCAACTGGCAGGCTGATCCATGCCACTAACATTACTACTGCAATGATACACCAAAGCAAGTATATTGGAAAGATTTGTTTCAGGACAAATCAAAGAGCAGGAAAACATTTTTCAGTCTTTGTGCCCTTTTTTTTAGGATAAAACCTAGTAGGTTCAGATTTTCGAATAAGTGCTGTTCATATGTGTACATAGCTCCCATCTTTTTAAACGTTAAAAATATACATTAGATGCATGCAAACTTGAGAGACACTTGGGAAAAGAACGGCATCATCTCCAACCAACCGAGTAAAACAAACAAACTACAAGACCGAGGGCGGGCACAGTGGACAGCACCACCACAGCCCAGGAGTTGCAGTCTGACTCCTGCGTTGGTGCCCACCTGGCTGTAGGGTCTGGAACATCACATGGTCGGCATCACTGTCAAATCATCCAGCACAGACTCACGACTACAGTGCCAAGCACGAGACAGAAAGGCAATGGGATCCCTGTCTAACTCTCAGGGAGCAAAGAGACAATGCGGTACTCAGTCTAACTCTTGGAGAGCTGTCTTGCCCAGGGCTGCCCAGCAGATGAGTGGCTAAGTGTGGGTTTTGCGGGTTTCTTGCCCCTGGCTCCAAGTTTTTCCATCTTTGTGGACTGACTCTGATGCCAACCAGAAGGTCAAGTCAGTACTCACCATAGGCTGTCCAGGGTCAGAAAACTTCACTTTAATATCCTGCAGGTGTTTCAAGATTGGTTCATCATATTCCTAATCAAAAAGAGAAAAAAAATTCCAATCGGCCTTTAAAAAACAGCACATCTCTCCCCAAGCGTCATGGCTGCATGGGCTCCCAGATGCTGCATAACTAGCCCTACTGGAATTCTGTCCTTGTCAAGTAATAACTACCAGGAAGAAACCCAAAGTTATTCACCAACTCCCTGTCATAGAAAAGCAGCACCAAGGTGTCCTCTTTCCCTAGTGTGGAGCAACGGTGGGTGTCACTGACAGCGAAGGGCAGTGCCACTGACACCCGCCTGCCTGCAACACTGGGGCAAGGGCCTTCACTGCTTTCCTGCCACTGCACACAGAGATCAGAAATGCTACCAACCAAGACTGTTGAGGAGACAGAGCAGAAGCCTGGAAGTCAGAAGAGAAGGCTAGATCAGCTACAGCCGTGGCAACCAGCTTCCCCACCTGTGGCAATAAAGTTGTGCACGCCTTAACAATGGGGGCACCTCCTGAGAAACACACCATTAGGCAATTCGGCATGCAATCATCAGAGCATACTTACACAAACCTAGACAGTGCAGCCTACTATCCACTATTGCTCCTGCACTACAAACCTGTAGAGCTTGTGACTGTACTGAATACTGGAAGCAGCTAGTGATGGTAATTATTTGTGTATCTAAACACAGAGAACGTACAGTAAGAATATGGTATCATAATCTTACAGGACCGCCATCCTATATGCAGTCTGTTGTGACCAAAATGTGTTATGTGGCTCATGACTGTATTCAAAACTCACTATACAGACGGTCACTTATTTTTTTTTTTGAGACAGTCTTGCTCTGTCACCCAGGCTGGAGTGCAACGGTGCAATCTCAGCTCACTGCAAGCTCTGCCTCCCAGGTTCATGCCATTCTCCTGCCTCAGCATCCTGAGTAGCTGGGACTACGGGTGCCCGCCACCACGCCCGGCTAATTTTTTGTATTTTTAGTAGAGATGAGGTTTCACCGTGTTAGCCAGGATGGTCTCGATCTCCTGACCTCGTGATCC